AGATTAAATCGGGATTTGAGAAGAAATCGATAGGATTATAGAAGAAATCGAGAGAATTTTTAATTTTGAAGTTCTAATTTTGATATCTATTTTCTTCTTTCGATTCCGATTTTGTGCTTTAATTCGTTTTGTCAACGAGAATTCGTGATTAAATTGAAAGTCAACATATAATTAAGTATTTTAATCACTAACTGCAGAGTTCATGCTTTAAATCAACAGAAATAGCCAACTGATGATTTAAATGACATTTTTCCCATAGTTTTTTAGTTAACTACTTAACTGTGGGTATTGAAACTATTTTCTTTGGAATTTGAACTTTCAAATATTTTATAAAGTAAAAAGTGACGGACTTTCAGGTTTTGGCATAAATTCTCTGTAGAGGTTTTCAAATATTTGATGCCGTGACAAAATATTGGTCAAAAGACTGGAAATTACTACTTTTTAAACGTCGAATTTGTTTAAAACAATTTCCAGACATTAAGTTAAACTGTGGTAAATTATGAATAAAAGTATGCATGAAAACCATTCAATGGAAAAAAGAGAGTATGTAAATAAAAGTATTAAAGTAATATCTAATACTATTGTATATGGAATAACTAAAATATACTAAAATATACTAGTATATATCTAATTAACTAATGCTTTTCAACATATTTGGAAAGTAATTTTTAAAAGAAAGTGTATTATTGGCTGTCTGGATCTCCATTCATTTTATATCACAAATTTTTAACGAAACTTTGGTCTCATTATAAATGATCTTATGCAAAAGTATTGATGGTTTTTCTTATCTATCTGTCTTTACAGTAAGTGATTCATTTACCCAAAAAAATTAAACTTACAAGTTTAGAAGCTCCAAAACCGAAAACATGTGTACAAAAGTAAATTATGCACACAGAAACAGAAATAGAATTTAATTCTCATTATAGTTTTGTAACTGACGCGACTTCCTTGTCCTTCGGATTCTCTCCAACAAGACAAAGAACATGGTAAGTCATGAATACCAGGTCTTCTTTAGCGGTGTATATTGAACTAATAAATATCATGCCATGTTTGTGTGATTTGAAAGACAATTATATAATATCTATTAAAAACTGTATATATTTATATCAATTATTAAAAATTTGACTTTTCATTGCTATATATATCATGATTAATTTGGATTTTGAACCGCATCTTACCATAACACTGATTAGTGACATTCTCTCAATTAGCGGCATAACTGACAATTCTTCACCAGTCAAAATTGTAAAATTTAGGTTAATGGAAGGAACGAACCTGAACAAATAGAATATACAAATACTTTTTTTTTTTTTTGGCATATAAATAGTTTACATATTTGTCCCCATGCACAGACGTTACGTTTGACAGAGAAGCGTTGCATGTTTGTTAGCGAACAGATTCAAATTCTTCCCATTACTTTATTATAGTCAACTAAAATTCTCATTCCATTTCTCTTTGTCACTTGTACTTTCTTCGTTATCATTTAAATATCACTCATCAATTTCTAGAGAATTGGACTCACGTATGTAGAAGACGGTGATTAGGGATGTCAAATAGGCTTCGTGACGACCATGGGCAAGACCAGTCCAAATTATAATGGTCCGGATTTAATCACGTCCAAATTCGCCCAAATTCGAAGCAGTCCATATGGGCTAGAAGCTCATTTAGTCCACAAACAAATGGGCCGAACCCATCTGGACATGGGCCGTCCAATAAGCTTTAAAAATTAGGGTTACTAATTTGGAAAAAAAAAAATTCTTTATTTCTTTAAACATTAGGATTTACACTGACATTTTCACTCCAAAAAATATTTTTACAGTTTTGGCGGAAAAATGTGATTTTACAATTTGGCGGAAAAATGCAATTCTTCGATTTTGAGAGAAAATGTGTTTTTCCGGTTTTGGCGGGAAATCAAAAATTATATTATTTGGGCCCCATGGGCTGTCCAGTTGGTCATGGTCTTATTTGGGCTTGGTCTTAATTGGACACGGTCCTATTTGGTCTTGGTCCCATTTGGACAGACCCATTTGGACCTGGACAGCCCAATTGACATCCCTAACGGTGATACACATTACATGTACGTAGATCGTTTTAACTGAAGATGATAAGAAACGCAACATTTACTGGCCGCATAGATGATATGTTCGCAACAGTTAATGTATATTAGTATATACACAATGGGTTTAAACTAAACCTAAAACAAACCAAAACATATGGATTTGTAGCCAAAAAAAAACCAAAACATATGCACCTTATACTAGATACTTGAAGCCACCAATAGTTATGCATCTACTCTAGTAGTTTCGGGTGCATGTCCTTTGTTACGATCATCTTAACACTTTAAGCGACAAATCTGATTGTGATGGTGCATGTCCTTAAAATATGAAATTTTGAAAACTTAACATGATGGAGTTAATTAGCCATCAAAAAGTAACTAAATAATATGACGTGCGAGCATATTTGCATGTATGTGAATCCTCATGCGATGACACGTAACACGTTCAAAACAAAAAGTCTCCGTTTCGGATCATAGAATATTCAAAAGAAACAACAATATATATTAATTGTCTATTGTCCGCTGACGTTATATTGATATCTAATTATCTAAACATAAACCTTCCGTCGTTATCCTAAGATTAATATAGGTTTTTTTACAATGTATTTAGTTGTAATTAATTGTGTTCTTTCAATAGAAGTCTTTTTGTCTACGTCATTTCTTCTCTTTATGTCAAAACTAAATCATGGTTCATACTATATTCAGCATTTACTTTTCTTACTATTTTCAGTAAATATCCGATTTTTATTTTATTATTTTATTTTTTTATTTAAATCTTAATTAAAATAGACTTTAGTTTAATTAGTTGATACTTAGTATTTGACTTACCAAGAGAATTAAGTGTCTAACTTTGATAACAAGAGGACAAGTCGGAAAAAAAAAAAAAAAAAAAAAGAGGACGAAAAAGAATCTGAAACTCTTTGGTGAGGCGTTGCCACTTGGCTAGAATATCATTTTATTACATTACACATCTTACATCATCACGTTTTTCCAACATCGTCGCATTATTTATTCTTTGTAACGCATGTATTTTTTTCTTGTCACTTTAATACTATTTTGGAAAAATAGTGTAGTAGAAGTATTTTTCTACAAGAATATATATTCTAGTAGCATAATGATGCTAATTAACCATGCTCAGTCACTGCATGCGATTAACTAAATTTGTTACTAGAATATATATTCGTGTAAAAAAATAATGATGCTAATTAACCATGCTCAGTCACTGCATGCGATTAACTAAATTTGCTACTAGAATATATATTCGTGTAAAAAAATACTATATATATATATATATATTTGGTATCAAATAGCATTATATATCCTTCTTTTATTCAGTGTCGGCTTTGTGAAATATGTGGTCTGATACAAAACAAATTTTTTTGATGGATTTTATTTAAAAATTTTAAAACTTGAAATCAATTCTTAAAATTTCAGAAAATAGAGCCTATTTTGCAATAACAAATAGATCAACTTAAAAATTGAGACTAAATCTGAAAATTTTAGAAAAATGGAGTATATTTTTTGCAATAACAAAATTTTTTGGGCCTAATTTTGATACTAAAAGTTTTAAAAATTTTAGAGGCCCAATACCTATATTTTTTGAGAATTAGTGACGGACCGAACATGGTTCCATTATCCAAAAGTGGCATCGGAAAAAAGAGCCTCGTCTATGATTTTTTTTTCTTTTATTAATTGTTGGTTTAATTTAAGGTTCTGTTTTTTTAACCTAACGGACCTAAAAACTTGTAATCAGCTCCGCTATATAAACGGAGCTCATGTGTGTGAAAATACATACTAGTATTTTATGATTAAAAAACAAAAATTAAAATCAACATTTGTTCGATTTAAAGCTTAATATACAAGGATATGGACCTAGCTCAGCAAATTGTTTGGACAACTTAATGCGTAAATAGTTATGCGGCCCATTATCCAACAAAATTAGAAAGATGGATCAGTGATTCTAAATGTATAAAGCCCAAATCATATTCTAATATTCTATTTATAGGACTTACGAGGAAAGGGATATGGAAGACCTCAGAACAAAAATAGTTATCGTAATGATATCCTAAAAAGGAGTTAGAATTATGTTCAAAAAGAAAAAAAGAGTTAGAACATATTAATATCTTATCTAGCTACATTGGTTAATATGATCCTTATTAGTTAATGTTTAAATTTAATCTTTCACTAATTTAAGCATAACTATATATATTTTACCACCGTTAAACCAATCCATATTAATCTCTGTTTAAAGCTTCTAGAAATCAGAAATTAGCTATTTTCTTATTTTATTACAAGAAGAAAGAAAAACATGTGTTACTCTCATTTTGCCACATGCATTATAACGTTTAGGTAGGTGAATCACCTAATTTCATAACTTGGTGAGCTTATGTAATTAATTAACTCTATCTATAAGTATACTTTAAATTAAGATATGGGGACCAGAAAAGTAACAAAGAATCTAACTTTAGAAAAATGCTTGCATTAAAAAGAGAAGAATATATATCAATAATATCGTATAAAAACTTTAACAAGAAAAAAAATGAGTATATCAATAATATCATAATATCTTTTTCAAAAAAAAAAAAAATATCATAATTGTATATACTATGTTTTATTGGTAATCCAATATAAAAATATGATCTCATTTAATTATAATTTACATAAGTTTATTGACCAAAAAATACATGTGTTAGTATTTTTGCAATTTATGCCACCATGTGGCAAAAAAATGGAAACCATTAATTAAAAATTTTGATTGGTTCTGCCAAAATTGACTAATGATTTTAAAAATAAATGCATCCAATTAAAAACTGCCACGTCATAATATTGGACCAGAATATTCGCAGTTGCCAAAAACAAAACAATGTGTCTAGGTTCAATGAATCTGGAATCACCTGCTTCTTCGAGTTTTGTTATATAATTCTCACAAATCATCTTGAAAAAGAAAAATAAAAACGAAGAAACAAAACAAATCTTACAACAAAAAGATCGAATTTTTGCTGTGAAAATGGCAATGTCTGTGAATGTTTCTTCTTCTGGGATCATAAACTCTGGTTTCTCTCGTTCCAGTGCTTTATCGGAGCCAAAAGGTAAAATTAAGTTTCAATTCTGAGAAATTTCAAAATTTTCGTCCAAAATCTGAGAAATTGTTTGATGGGTCAATGTGGGTTTTGATTATTACATATGAAATTTGATTAATTTGGGTATGAATTGCTAAAGTTTCGTTTTTTTTTTTTTTGATTCTTACAGTTTCGCAAATCGGTTCGTTGAGGTTATTGGATCGTGTTCATGTTGCTCCGGTGTCTCTGAATCTAGCTGAGAAGCGATCATCATCTGTTAAGCCTTTAAACGCTGAACCAAAGACAAAGGATTCAATGATTCCTCTTGCAGCAACAATGGTAGCAGAAATTGCAGAGGAAGTTGAAGTAGTTGAGATTGAGGATTTTGAAGAGCTTGCAAAGAAGTTAGAGAATGCTTCACCTCTTGAGATTATGGATAAAGCTCTTGAGAAATACGGGAATGATATTGCTATTGCATTTAGGTATATAGATCAATTCAATCATGAGATATGATCAGTTTGTTTAATTTTGTGAAAAGATTGCTGATTTTTTGGTTTCTTGTGTTTGCAGTGGTGCAGAAGATGTTGCTCTTATTGAGTATGCTCATTTAACTGGGAGGCCGTTTAGGGTATTTAGTTTGGATACAGGGAGATTGAATCCCGAGACGTATCGGTTTTTCGATGCGGTGGAGAAACACTATGGGATTAGAATTGAGTATATGTTTCCTGATTCTGTTGAGGTTCAAGGTTTGGTTAGGAGCAAGGGATTGTTCTCTTTCTATGAGGATGGTCATCAAGAGTGTTGCCGTGTTCGAAAGGTGAGACCTTTGAGACGTGCTCTTAAGGGCTTAAAGGCTTGGATTACTGGTCAGAGGAAAGATCAGTCTCCAGGAACGAGGTCTGAGATTCCGGTGGTTCAGGTTGATCCTGTGTTTGAAGGTTTGGATGGTGGAGTTGGTAGTTTGGTGAAGTGGAATCCGGTTGCGAATGTTGAAGGGAATGATGTTTGGAACTTCTTGAGGACTATGGATGTTCCGGTTAACACATTGCACGCAGCAGGGTATATATCGATTGGATGTGAGCCCTGCACGAAAGCGGTTTTACCGGGCCAGCACGAGAGGGAAGGGAGATGGTGGTGGGAAGATGCTAAAGCTAAGGAATGTGGGCTTCACAAAGGGAATGTCAAGGAAAACACCGCTGATGCTAATGTAAACGGGGAATCGAAATCCGCTGTTGCAGATATCTTTAAGAGTGAGAATCTTGTAACTTTGAGCAGGCAAGGGATTGAGAATTTGATGAAGTTGGAGAACCGTAAAGAGCCTTGGATCGTTGTGCTTTATGCTCCGTGGTGCCCCTTTTGTCAAGCCATGGAAGCATCGTATGATGAATTGGCGGATAAGTTGGCTGGAAGTGGGATTAAGGTTGCGAAATTCAGAGCAGATGGTGACCAGAAGGATTTTGCTAAGCAGGAATTGCAGCTCGGTAGCTTCCCAACCATACTTGTCTTTCCCAAGAACTCATCAAGACCGATCAAGTATCCGTCTGAGAAGAGAGATGTCGATTCTTTGACATCGTTCTTGAATCTAGTCCGATAAAGAAACCACAAAACCAGTCGACATTTCTATGAGGAATAAGAAGTATTTCTTCATCTCGTTCCAGATTGCTAGAACAGATGAAGTTGGTGTTTGGAGAATCAGTTCAAAGCTTTATAGATCACAGAGTCAGAGATAAGCTCTGCAACAAAGCTTGTGTAATTGCAGTATTGTAAGATTATAAGTTGCAATAGTGTTGATTCTTCATGTAAATGTGTGGTTATTAGTAAAATCAAGCCCCTGTTTCTTCTTTGCATTCATTTTTCAGTATATAGAGCTAACAAGTTGATGATTCTCCATGAAAATCAGTGGTTAATAGTAAAATCAAGATCCTACTTCTACGCATTCATATCAAATACTAAGAATCACATCAAAGCTGAGATATTCAGGAATCAGAACCACAGTAAACAATGCTAAGTAACTGATTATTCTCCATACAAATTTGTGGCTTCAAGAGAAATCAAGCTCTAGTTTCATCACATTTCATATCAAACTATCATAAAATACAAAGATTTACCTCAAAGTTGAGATTTTTAAGAATCGAAACCAGAGTAAACGCCACTCTCTCTCAACTGTCTCTTCTCTTCTTCAACGTAATTCTTGCCCCTACTGGCTTGTCCCAAATCTCTCTTCTTCTTCTCCTTCTGTGAAAAAGAGAGATTCTTCCTATCAGTCCGCAACTGCGCATTCTCAATCGTCTCACCACCTGTAACCGCAGCTCTTGTAGCTTCTCGTTCTCTATAACTCTCTTTCACTTCCTCTACTCTTTGTTTATCCTTTCCCGTAGCCCATGACCAATCCTGTTTCTCCATGGGAGCACGAATATCAGGAAGACCAACAGCTTTGTAACCATGCTGCTGCAGAGATTCATAGTCAAATGCTTTCTTATCTTTCTTCGCAAACCTCGCTGCAACCATAAAAATACAAAGTCACATAAGAGAGATCCCATCTCACAAAATTAAAAAAACAAGAATAACAATGAAGTTTTTCTCCTACCTATTGGCTTCTTGCTCTTTCTCTTCTTCTTCTTCCCAGCCTCTGTATCATCCACATTTGAGTCAGAAGCAGAAGACGATGATGATTCCTCGGATGAGTCATCATCATCATCATCCCATCGCATCATACCTTTCTTCATGATAAGAGCTCTGACATAAAATTAAATCTCCATTAGTCCAATTTACAAACCAAAAAGCTCATAACTTCAAGAGAGAAAGTAATGAACTTTCTTGAATATCTATCATCAATAAGAGGAGGATTCACAAATAAGTCATTTCCCAATAAGACAAACTCTTCCAACAATTCGAAAACAAATAAAGTACGAATCTTTGTAATCGAATTGATAAACCCTAAATTGAATTGACGGTTCACGAAGATACCATAAATCCAATTAGAGCATAACATCAGCTTCCTAAAGCAATCATACCTTGCCGGTGTAGTCGACGATTGCAGGAGCTCGATTCGCGGCGGAGACTGCGACAGTCGCAAGATCAGAAAATACTCGGGTCCCAAGTCCCGTAGAAGAACCAAGAGAACAATAAAAGTCTTAAGTCAAATTTTTTGGTTTTGGTTTTGTTTGGTTTTCTTTCGGTTAAGTCAATTTCTATGATTTTTTATCGGTTAAGACAAGTGAGAAATTTTACCAATGTATATCGGTTTATTCATGGCAATTGATAAAATATGCAGAGGAAACAGAACAAAGAAGATAGAGTCAAATTAGAACTAAAGATAGAAACTTGTTTCAAATCCATCTTCAAAAGCAAAAGAGAGAGTGAGAGCTCAAAAGGTAAACCCCAGAAAGTAAAAAGACATTATTAGTGCAAAAGCTAGAGAATGTACAATCATCAAGAATCGTAGAAGCTAAGCTGATTAGCAGACAGATCCAAATGTGTTCTCTCCACTGTATGTCATGTAGAGAAACCCATCTTCGTCTCTGTGTTCTTCATAGATTGCAGACATCAGTGCCGCTGTTTGTAAGAAACAGAAAAGAGAGAAACCAAATTAATAGAAGATTAGAAATTGAAGATTCACACAAGGTTTATAAATCCTTTACCGGTTGGGGGTAGTGTGTTCTTGACAAAGACAAAGATGGCTTTTTCGGCTCCAAGCTTGATTCTTTTCCTCACAACGTACACAAACTGGCCAACAGTTAGATCAGCTGGTACAAGATACCTAAAGAGAAGAAACAGGATCAGCAAAAAACCAACAAAAAAGAATGCTATGCAATTCAATCTGTATCTAGAAACTGTTACCAAGGGACAAGCTTTGAAGAATGAGAACCATATAATGATTAGCTCAAACCAACTATAGTAAGAGTTTTTTCTTTAGTGTATAAGCGAGACTCAAACTATATATAACACCAAAACAGAATTTCCCTTGCAATGACTAACTCATCAGCTAGTGATACCATTATGATCAAACAAGAGAGATAGAGATAATATGTATAATTTACTCACTTCTTCTTGTCAATGTCAGGAACATCACTCTGTCCAGCCTTCTCCACAATCACCTGCATTCAGTTTCTCATTAGAAACTTAAGCTAACATCGTTCCATAAAGGGAAAGTTTAGAAGACATACGGGAACTCTGTCAGGGTATTTCGCTCGGATACGAGTAGATTCAGCCATTCTCATCTCTGAGATCAAAACAAAACCATAAAAATTCAGTCACAGCTAACGGATCATACAAACACATGAACACATCTTGTAGATTAACAAGATGCAATCCAAGTAACAAGTACTAAATCTTTGGAGTTTCAATTAATTGAGTTGATGTAAATCAATAGAGGAAAAATATCAAAAACAAACAGAGTAACCCAATATCAAAGATCGAATCAGAACCAAATCAGAACCAACAAACTCTTGATCAGGCTAATCAAAATTGAGTTTCTTAAACAAAGATCAGAATCATAACACAATCCATATCAAAAAAAATCTTCAACAACAATTCTATAAACGCTTATCGAGTGACATCAATAAAGCAAAAAGTTAAAAAGAAGAAGAGAAGAAACTAACCCAGAGGATTAGAAAGCTTGAAGGAGTTCTTAGCCATGGCGATCCGATTAGTATCTGCGATGATTAAGAAAAAAAAATCGAAACTTTATCTGTTAGGTTAAATCGGGATAAAAACCCAAAACACAAAAACTCGAAATTGACAAAGTGGAGAGGCGAAATCAAAACATACCCAAAAGAAGAAACTAGGGTTCGATGATCAGAGAGGAAAAAAAATTGGATTTTGATTGAAAAAAGAAGAAGAGGATCAAAAAAAAGAAAGAAGGAGAGAATATATATAAAGGAATCAGAGGATGGATTTAGGGTTTAGTGATTGTTACCTGCACGGCACCCAAACTTATTTACTTGGATTTTAATTATTTTACTTTAATTTTTAATTAACTTGCAAGGAAATTAGTTACGATGTTTATCTTACGTCAGCGAGACCATACGACGTCGTTGATTGTATTGGTGAGTTTGTGAGCTATTCGTTGGGCCTTTATGGGTTTGGCTCCATATTGGGCTTTCTGTGTCTTTTATATTATCACGATTAGAATTTTAATTTGGCAATGGTTCCGATTGATCACCTCCTACCAATCATAAAAGCATAAAAACGGTGTTGAAAACGGTATTTTTAATTTTATTTTTTGGTATTGTTACTTTTTAATTCTCTCTATTTCTTCTCTAATCCTTTCGATTTCTTCTCAAATCCCGATTTAATCTTATTTTCTTAAGATTTCGTTCGATTCTGATTTTGTGTCTCAATTGGCTTTGTTAACGAGAATTCGTGATTAAATTGAAAATCAACATAAAATTGAACATTTTAATCACCAGGTACAGAGTTCATGCTTTAAATCAACGAAAATGAACAACTGATGATTTAAATGACATTTTTCCCGTTTTATTTTACCAATCATACTAATATAATTAATCTTTGTTTCTAGTTTTCTACTATCAATACAAAATCCATGTACTTTCACCCTCTTCTTATTCTTATATAAAAGCATTTTTTTAGTCTAATCTCTAATGTGATGTTTTCTCGTTACATTATTTTCTTCTCTCGCTATCCCATAGTTTTAACTTGTAAGTATATATTTTTTTTCTGTATGAAACATTTATCTATCCTACTATCCACCGCATTGCATTGTAGAACACTTGTTTTAACTATACTCAAACAAACAAAGCATTCAAATCTATTCATCAAATATTTCTACAGAAAATCATGGATTCAATCCTTTATATGTACAAGGATGAAGAGATACGATATATATCGATTGATATGGTTGAAAACTGTCTTCAAAAAATTGTAAACTCAGCATTTTAGGGCTTATTTCTTTTTGCATGAAATCGGCTTAATTCTGATTTTGGACTTAATTATAATGAATTTGTGATAGTAGCAGAAGAAGATAGACAATTACACATAGCTAATGTTAACATAGAATTAAAGATATCTAATTAATATATAACATTGATTGCAAACGACAAAAACTTTCACCAAACATGGTGAAGAACTAACTCAAAGTGGCTCCAATTAAAGGTTCTAAAGGATATGCCCTCTCTAGGCTCTCTAATTTAAGATCATAAAAAAAAACACTTCAAAAGAGAAACCAAAACACAACAGAAGAAAATAAAAGGGGACCCATGCATGGGGCTGACAAGTCATCATCATCACTATGATACTTATCTACTCTAAATAACACATTGAAAAATAATAACAATAATAAAGAAAAACTTAACAAAAAGACTATTGGTATAGTGATCCCCACATGATGATGACGACAATGACATTGATAATGATGATGATGTGGATACCATAAAGTTGAGTTTTTCATGATGATAATGTTAAACAGGAGTTATGGGATTCATGCTCCATGCACATGGATGATGATGATTGTGATGATGATGAGATATTATATCCTACTTACTCCAAGAAACCAGTTTTTGACAAGACAGCATTTCTCACTTTGCTTAGATCTCTTCCTTTAAGTGTTCTTCCAACTCCTTCACACATAGAGAAAGAAGAGATCTGTGTTCTTGCTAGCTTTCTTGCAACCCATTCATGTGGAGGAACCATGCAACCATCATCATCATCGTCAGCATCATGATAATGCAAATGGCTACTCCTTCTGTTGCTCTTTGAGTCACCGTAAACCTTGGACCAGTCAGGGACATTCATAGGTGCGGATGACTGTTTTACTCCTGAGACCTCCTTGCTTCTATGAATGTTCCATGGTGAAGATGAGGAAGAAGATGAGGAAGAGAAATGACTTTTGGGTATTTTCATTTCAGGGCCTGAAGTTTCTCCTTCTCTCAGAACTGACCACACATCTTCTTCTTGAAACTCTTCTTCCCCTTCTATTCTCATTGAAGGAACCCTACGGCTATTATGTGTCCCTCTTCTTGATCCTGAATCCATTGAGAGAGAGAGAAATGAAATTCTTCAACTGCTAGTGAAAGTTTTCTTGCTTTTTAAAGAAGATGTTGTCGTTGATGTTGTTATTTTCATCAAGTGAGAATATATATTAAATGTGAGAGAAGAGATAATCACAAAATGAAATAGAAAGAGAAAAGTCATATACATATTAATAGAAGAAAGCTTCAAAGATTATTTACAAGAGCCTCTGAAAGAGACAGAGGTTTCAGAAAACTCCAAAAGTTTATTACTTTTGTACTCTTCTTTTTTCTCTGCAATAATTTGTGCTAAAGACCTAAATGCTTCTAAAATAAATCAACAGTTGCATTACACAACTTACAAGAGTAAGTAGCCTTTAGTACTATTTTCTACTGAGACCTGCCAAATCATTGACAGAGTCTGATTCATACAATAAGACAAAAAAACTGTACTATATGAAAAGACTTGCTTTTATGTCAAATTAAATTTACTTTTTCCGGTAAAAATTTAAAAGAACTACGACAAAAATCAATGTTATCCCAAAAATAAGAGGACGAAATTAAATTTAACTCGAAAGTGCCTTTAATGACGTTACCTGATTAGAGTTTTACTTACCATCTTATCCATAACGAAAAGCGAGTGTGAGAGAGAGAGAGTGAGAGATCGCTTATTGCATTCAATTTTACGTACGATTTAATAATTAGGTTAGGTTCTTCGTTTTATTTACTGAGTGAAAATGATAACTATTGGAAGAGTGTAATACACAAAAAATAATATTTTGAAAACACTAAAAGATCTAAGAAATGCATGTTGCTGATCATACATTAACTTGCCAATGTTTATAACAATTTATTATATGTTATGAACTGATCGTGTGATAGATTTATGGATTGAGAGAAAATAATGTTTGTTTTTATGTTTTTACTTGCATAATTTAAAAGTTCAAATAGATTTATGAATTTATGGAATAAGATACAATTGATATACATATGCTATTAGCTTCTTTAATAAATTGACGTAAGAATATGATACTGCAGCATCATTGCAACTAGAATCTAAGTTATGTCTTGTCCTAACTCCTAAGAACAAAATAGTGAAATACACACATAGATACATTAAACTTGCACAAAAATGTCAAGACAATGTCTCTATCCATTTTTTGTCAACCAAGACAAAGTCATGTAAGAAAATAAGAGCACATACGAAAAAACATAAAAACAACGAGATGACTTGTTCTTCTCATGTTCTTATTCCTCTCAGGTTTGGTCATCTATTGCTCGAGGAATTCTTCAAAACGATTTCACAACTCAATGGGATCAGATTCTCTTAATTTTAACAGATTCCACTCGGTCGAAACTCATCACCTTTGCTATCTGAAGCCCCGGCCCAATATATTTGGGAGCCTTAGGCCATCTGCAGTGGCATAACTTGGGTCATGTTCTTCACATTATTAAAATTGGGAAATAATGAATAGTGGGCTTGGATCAGAGAGAATCGATCTTGCCCAAGATGTGTTTTAACCCTTGTTCTTCGGTCTACGTGGCACTTTTCTAGTGGTTCCGAATTTTAGCACACGTGGGCTGTGGACAAATTCATCAATGCCTCCAAATGAGAAAACATTTGTTCTACCGAAAGAATCAAGTCAATATGTATTAGTCTCTAAATTAAAGAAAACAAAAATCTCTTAACATTCGTTTTTTTGTTACATATGCTTTCTGATTTTTTCTTTTCAAAATTGTACCCTCCAAATTTTTTATCTGTCCCCATAAGTACATGACAAGATCACTTGCGTAAAAAAAATTTTGTTGTGTATATTGTTTCTCTTCATCATATACCACTTTATTTATAGATTTATATATTATTACATGTGCATTCTGATATTTTTTTGTTGTAGAATTTTTTAGGTGATGGTCACACAGGAATTCGTGATAGACAAGCACATCACCAATTACAAGAGGATTTGATTGAGAATATATGGAATAATTTTGGACATTAAACTTTGTATTACTTAAATAAAATGTTTGTGTGCTTTAATTAAGTAAGAAGTTTGTTTGTTTTTATGTTTTTCATTTATATCTTTAATGTTTTTTGTTTCATAAAAATTTGGTCTTGTATTTTGAATTTTAGTATAAGTTTTTTATGTTTTCAATTTAAATGTTATTTTTTAAAGTTTTTAAAATTGTAATATTTTTTTATTATTATATTATTAAATCTTATGATTTTACACATGTTCTCCCAATAACCAACTTATTAACAAAAGATCTAAACTCCTGATCTTACATTATTTTAATAATATTCTTACTCTAAGAACACCCAAAACAGTTCCCCCATTAAGGATGCCCTTAGGGCATATGTATCGGCATAACTCTCAATACAGATGTTAATATTATTTTAATAATAAATATTGCTTTAGTAACTGAATGAATTTATTAAGAGAGAGAAGAAAAAGAAGAAAAAAAAAAAGAAGGAAGAGAGAAAAAAAAAGAAGGAAGAGAGGAAATTATGGAACCAATACTTTTCAGACACGTGGCTCATAACTTGTATTAGAACAGATCTTGCAGAAGATCGCAATTCAGGTTCGTCTTCTACTGTTTGAATTTTTTCAAATTTTTAATGCCTAAGAACACTACTTGTGTTGCTGCGATACTTATGATCTTAGGGCAAAATTTTTTTTTTTGGCCTATTATTATATATAAAAAGAAAATTTAGTTATTTTTTATAGTGAAAATTGTTATTTTAAAAATTTTGGGCCTTTTTATACTTTTTCTTATAAAGAATTAGGCCTCTTGAAATATAATTTTCAAATTAATGATATTTTTAAAAAATATTTGGGACGGGGCTGGCTATCTGTTACTTAGTTCAAGCTATATAGTTCACAGTCTATGGAGAGAAAGAAATGGTCGACGTCATGACGAACCCTCAACCTCGGCTCAACATCTCAGCCGTCTCATCGACAAAAACATTCGAAACAAGCTCAGCCTTCTCCGAAACTATGGGGGTTATGAAGGTGGGATCCAATTTTGGTTCCAAACTCATCCTTAAAATTATTGATTATTTTATTTTTTCAACTTTTTTAAGAAATTCAACTCTCTATGATGCATTTATTGTAAAACGGTTTTTTTGAATATAATTTTACATTCTTTCAAAAAAAAAAACATAAAAACAACAACATATTTAAAAAAATAATAATGACAAATTAGAGTTTTGGAAAAAATCATACAGATCACCAATGTTTTGGAAAAAAACAACATATACTTTTTTTTTACCAACCATATATATATATATATATATATATATATATATATATATATATATATATATATGGTTCTAGATAATTTAAAAAATGGTAACAAATGTATGAGTTATTGATTTTCCTTTAAAAATGACAAAGCTTTGAGATGAAGAAATAAACAAATTTTGTTCTCAGATTAGTTATAACAATGGTTAAATATAATTACAAGTTTACAACAATTACAGTTGGTGTAAATTCTAATTACTTACTATAAACCTATATTGTTTAGTGTTTAAGACGGAAAAAAATCTATATTGTTTACGTAGTGATGTCAAACTATTGAATAAACGAATTAAATGACAGTAGAAATAGTAAGTCTAATTTTCACTAATTTGGTTTACGTTTACAATATAATGATTGGGACATATACAGTTAATTTTTCTTTATTTATCGCAATTATATACGAACAACTTTTCAAAGAATACATACAAATCAACTGCACATATACAATCAAAAACAGACAAAAGAATGATTTAGACGCAAGTCTTAAACTCTCTCTACTTATTAATTTTGTATCGTCACCAAGTTAAGCTAATATCCGATCCGTCCAAAGGAATGAGAAATCTTATCTCATGGGTTCAAAGGTACCTTAGAAGGAAACTACTTTAATCCTACTCTGGTCACAAAGGTCCATGAAGATTACATACCTCGGCTCTAGGTAATAAAAAAAAAATTATGGTTAGCTGGTCACAGCAATTGCAATCGTTGCATTTTACTATATTTAAGTCTTTAAATGCTATATAAGATTGTTGGGCTATGTTTAGAAAATATTAAAATTGCAATGGAGATTAAATTAGATGATGAGGAGTGGAAATTGATGTGGACACATCATCCCTACACAGTACACACACTTTAGTTTCAGAAACCCTTATCTTTTTATAAACTCCTCTCACCACCAACACATGATTCTTTTAATTACTCCGGTAAACGAGCAAAAAGATTAAGCACACATACTCATGTAACTATTTTTATAATCAACTGTTAAATCCTAAACGAGACCTTATCTAGACCTACTAATACTAACTGTTAGATTTATAACCAAGCTTTCTCAAGTTCCTTTAATTTCCAAAGAATGTTTAGAACTAATAGAAGAAGATAATATTTGTTCATAATCTCTTGAATTCAAATCAAAGCTAAAACAACAATTTTGTAGGCATAAACAGTTTTAAAAACAAAAGTGTAGTAGACGTTGTAGTGTTGTACACTGGATGAAATATATAAAACTTACTAATTAAATAGATAAATAAAACAAAGTAGCTAGTAAGATTTTTTTCTTAGTATAAACATAACAAATAAGCAAATACAAGTTATACAATCTAAACAATAGTCGAATCATGCATGACTTACAAAGTTATAATAACTACTAAATTTCCAACTAATTTGTTATAACATTTTGAGTTACTAAAAAAGATTCCACATAAAATGATTGGATAAAAACTTGCTCGTCTTTTGTAGAATACTAGTGTACATTTTAACGCATTATTCAGCAGCATGCGATGACAAGTGTCGTTGCTGCATTAGCTGAAAAAGCTTGTTTGTTTCTATCCTTGTATTATACCGACTCGGTTTACAAAAAACAAAAATCAATAACAAGACATTAATGTAAAAGTCCATTGACTAGTTGGTTGCCTCTAATCCGACAATTTGTTTAAATTAAACACTAAACAGTGTTGATAGAAGAGTTTTCTTAAACCAATCTTCGATTATCTACCGACTTCTAGAGATTTGATGTAACTAAATTACTATTAGCTGTAAGGATATTTGAACATGTGTGGTAAATTCATACTCATGTTTCTTATCATTGTATTTTTTTTTAAATGTTTTGTTTTAAAAAGATAAATATTTTTAAGTTTTATATGTAATATTTATTAGTTGCTATTGATAAATTATGAAATACAAAAAAATAATTAAATACTATTGATTTAGAGATACATAAAATTGTTAATCACAAAAAATAAGATATTTATAATCAACTTTTAATAAAAATTTTTAATATGTGTGAAAATCCTAGACGATACCTTAATAAGTAACAGAGGGAGTATTCAATTTGGATAAGCCATTTGCTAGCTTTCTCAGCGTTCGTGGGTTTCACGATTTATTTGAGCGGATGGTATATTCATTTGAAACCCCAAAATTTTAGATATTTTGCAGCATCCTCAAAATTAAGTTTATACCAGTACAAAACGCCCCAAAAATTGGAAGACGATCAACTTAATTGTTGTATTTAGAGCTTTATAATATTTTGTTGTATGAATGAGAATTAAAGAGAAAAATGAAGCCGCTAGAGTATAGTAAAAAACTGTTCAAACATCTAATAATGTGAAATTGACGTGGTTAGGAATTAAGTTAAATTCTAACCGAAAAGAAACAAAAACAAAAAAAAACCAAAATTTATACAAGCACTAGTGCCTATAAATTTTATAAGATTCGGACTTGCACGTTCGTGTGGGGTTAAGTTTGTAAACATATTTATTTGGTATAGCAAACAGTATACAGTTTAGTTTTCGATTTGATTTTAATCTGATTTTTATTTAAAGGTTTGAATGTTTAAAATAATAATAGGTTTATCGGTGTTTTAAAACATGTGACCGACCCAACGGCTGGACCATTATCGAAGGCGATTGTTACTAAACTTGTGAACTATCAAATTGGGTATAAAACTATGAAGGACGACTAAAGCCCCATGAACCGGAAATGACAGCCATTCGAACATAGTGGTGGGCATAATTCAAGTTCCTTTCCACCTCATCTCGTTCTGCATAATTCAGAGATCCCATTTCAAGTCATCCATTGCCAATGAGTCCAACATAGGGCAAGCAGACAAAAGATTTTTCAAGGCACATGTCTGACTTGGAGGAGCATCAAACTTGTCAGAGTTAAGAATGAGGCTCTGAAGCATAGGTAGAGAAGCATTCTCATGGAGACTCCTAACCCTATATTTCTTGCTTACCTCTAGCTTAGTAATGGTCTTTAGTTTAAAGATTTCCGGAGGCCGCCGATTGAACCGAGTATTTACATTCACAGTAAATTCCATTACACCTGTCTGAGAAACATGCTCTATACAAGATCGAAACTTCCTGAAATGATCTTTGTGAACAACCCCATGTATCTGATAATTAAGACGCAATTTGTCACCCGAGTTATTTCATCCAAAAGAGACATTCTTGTCACGAAATCCGTGAATGATTCTTCGGATATCGAGTACTCAAAACAAGAGATAATATCGAAGATATTACGGTACTCGGGAGCAAGAAGCTTCACATACGCAACGTCTTTTATAGAGCAAAAACGAATGATGGATATAATCATCTCAAAAGGTAAACTTCTAAACTCAGCATTTATGAAATCGCTATTTTATATGTATGATAGCAGATTTTCGTGCTGAAAATATAAATATTTCTTGTAGTGTATGCATAAAGAAAGAAACGAAGAATGCATAAAGAAAGAAACGAAGAAAGTATAAAGAAAAATCAAAGAACGAACCTGCTTCAATGTATCTTCTTCTCTCTGCTTTTTTGTGATTTTCTTGATCGTTCTCTTTGATTTTCTTGATCGTTCCGTTCGTAATCAAAAGAATATAATGGGTGGGGAAAAAACAAGAAAGAGATGACATAAGTGTGATATACGGTCTTATGTTCAAAATGTTAATAAAAATCATAAAATTTTGTCATAAAAATATATTTTTATTTGTTTACTACAATTTTGAAAACAATATTAGATTAATATTCTTAAAACATTAAAATAACTCTAAACTACTATCTGATTTTAATCCAATTTTCTGATTAATCTATAGGTCCATATCAAATGTCCGACTAACGCCTAGCGATTTTTCGAACAAAAGATATACCAGAACTATTGGGCCTATTAATGCTGGGCATACCTGAACAAATTTAGGCCCATATCGGCGGAGGAATATGCGATCAGACGGTGATTTTTCTTGTCGTTAAGCACTACTCCAGAACCTGTTAGAAGCTCAGCGAATTGCGTTGAATCTAGGTTTCTCCAAATCGATGGCTGAATCACAGAGGAGTTAGATGGAATCCATGGCGAGCATGTCGGATTTGAGATTGAATTCTCTGAAATTGAATTGCCAGATGCATGTACAATGGCTTCTTGTTGGATTGATGAACTTATCTGTAATGCTTATTAGTCAACAATCCTAATCAATTGCATTTTCTTTAGTTTCAAAATTTTTCTTACCTTTCCTTTGATTTGGTTTCCCATTGGTAATTCTGTGGTGTGAGAAGGGACATTAGAGATTATTTGAAGCTTGTCCATTGATCTCTGGATACTTAACATATATTTGTATTTTGTACTTGTGCCTAACCACACTGATGTTGTAACTCTGTCAGCTGTATCAAGAGCTCTGTGGTCATCCAACATTTTGCATTCCCCGTCTTCGTCTTGACCACCTCTCACAGACAAGACATATTTGCAACAAGAAATCTAATGTGTATCTCATGTCTTTTTACAAATGTTGTCCGACGATGAAATTGAGAAGGATACTACAAAAGCTGCCTCAAGTTCAGGTAATTTCAACGTGGGGACTCTATGTGAAAATGTATCAAATTTAAGTCATTAAACAATAGTATAACTTTATTACCCATGAAGTTATGTGATTTGATGATGATTCATGGTTCTACCTAACTAAGATCCTTCATAAGTCATAACAACAATCAAAAGACAACAAGTCTTATTTCTTCAAAGGATCCTAAAAAAGCTCATCATCATCCACATATATTCAACGAAGATCTCCATCATTTAATCCAATGAAAGGCCAAAATAGATACAACCGCATTTTGTTTGTAATTGCATGATTATAAAGAGTTGTTCTAGAGATTAACAATTATACATTATACAAACGATAACGAAAAAAAAAAAAAAAAAGAGTTTTGGACTCATATAAAAGATTCAAAGAGGGTTCAAAACAAATCAAACCTGTGCATTAGCTCCAGCAACAATCTCAAGAATCTCTCCAGTAATCTTAGCTTGACGCTTTCTATTATACACCATCGAAAGCGATTTCTTAAGATCCGATGCATTATCCGAAGCACTACTCATTGCACTCATTCTAGCTGCAAGCTCACTAGCCAATGACTCCTGTAATGCCCTAAGAATCTGACTGTTCAGATACAGAGGCAACAAAGCATCAAGAATCTGAACAGGGTCTTGCTCGAATTGCAATATCGGCGAGAAATCAGCTGTTGGTGTCCTAAAAGTCTCTCTTTCAACCGTCAATTTCCCTCCTTTCGTCGTTAGCCTGAACAATTCATCTTCCGCAGCATCCACACAGGTCCCATTAATGTCACAGATCTCTCCTTTAGGTGATAGAGGCAATAGCGTGTGGATCACGGGTTCTGATTTGACCAAAGACACAAACTTTGTGTACAAGAGCTCGACTTTATCGACTTCTTCGCTTATAAACAGAGAGAAGACATCATCAGCCACAGCTTGAGCTTCTTTAGCCGTAGGTAAAGTTCCGGCTTCGAGGTATCTGTCGACAGGTATGTACGGACGACGGAGGAAATAAGAATTTCCCTTCTTCCCCACGCTAATGACTGTGTATTCAAGACCAAGACCTTGAAGCTCTTTGATTCTTGCCTCTGCTTTCTTAATGATGAAATTGTTGAATCCACCACATAATCCACGATCACCGGTAACGACAACGAGTGCTACTTTCTTAACCGGTCTGACTTTGGTTAAGGGGACATCGACATCATCGGTTTGAAGCTGTTCGTTGATGTTGTAAAGAACTTCAACTAGGGTTTCTGAGAATGGACGACCATTGACGACAGCTTCTTGAGCTCTCCTGACTTTAGCTGCAGCGACAAGCTTCATAGCTTCGGTGATCTTCTGAGTGTTTTTGACTGAATCGATACGGTCTCTGAGCTCACGAAGAGACGCTTGGAGTGGTGAAACAGAGGAAGATCTTGAAGGAGGAGATGAAGTGTGATTTGGAGGAACTGGGCACTTGAGAACAGATCGGAAAGATAAGGAAGATGAATCAGAAAGAGATGGTTTTGATGAAACCCACATTGTTGTTAGATTAGAGCAAGCCATTTTTTGTTGTTTGTTTCAGACAGTGTTTTGCTCTAACCTTATTTCTCTGTTCTTTTGATTGTATTGAAGAAGAAGAAAGAAGAGAGGAGAGATTTGAGTGGAGGGAAGAGAAGGTAATAAGATTAGGTTTGGAGATAAGGTTTTTTTACCTTTGGTCTTTGGAGTCTGTGGGATCCTTTTTGTTGACGTGGCGTTGTATTAGTGGATGGTTCGATATCTTCAACGTTTTTTTTTTTGTGTGTATATCTTGCTTCTTTGTTTATCAGCCAACCAATGGTTTTATGAGTTTTGAGTCTCTCACAATGAGAGAAAATATCTGATAACTGAGGATAGAAATTAGTGTAATTTGGTTTGGTTTAATTTTATTTGGTATGGTTTTGGTTCATTAGGGCATATGCAAGGGTGCATCTTTGAAGATTGATCTTAAGGGAGAAAAAATATTAATAATGTAAGAGGAAAGAGAAGGAAAGAGTTTTTAAATATCGATTGGATCTTGAATCAAATATCCATGGATATCGGTTCGGTTCGGGTAGGAACCGATATCCATTCGGGTACCCGAAAAATATAGCTCATCTACTTAACATTTTTGAAGTACAAATTTGCTCTCTCCAATCGGGTCGGGTTTTTTACAAGATTTTGACCCGGATTTTTTTTTTGACCCGGAAATAAAACTTTTGGATCATACCTTATTTGTGATTTTGACCCGTATTCTCTCAATCGGAACCTTCCTTAATAGATACTCCCTACATTCAAGGTAAAAGCATTTAGTTTCTCATATTTAAAGATACACAGAATATATATAGTTATAACAATTTATAACAAATTGATCCGTATAACACAAAATGTTTCCTATTAAAAGGGGAGATAAACGATTTGATCTAGAATCCGTATAACAAATTGATACTAAATACAAAACATTTCCTAGAATTATACAATTATCAAAAACGAATTTATTAGTTTGAGTTTAGGAAAATATCAGCTGTATATATCTTTTAAACAAACCAATATTCTATAACTAAATTGTTTCCTATTTAAATGGTAAAGATTTTGAGCCCATTAACATTTGTTTCCTAAATAAATAAACCATATCAAATTGACATTCAATCACAACAACTGATTTTAAAGTAAACGACTAAAGCATATTCTTTAAACATCCTATATTCAATTCTTATAATTCTCGAAGATATCTTGGCATTTATTTCGGATTTCTTATTATGTAAATGTTGGTTAATAATATCTAACAAATCTGGCTTGATCACAAAGTTATTGTCGAATTTGTATCCAACCTAAGGCCAAGAGACTATAACCTCTATAAATAGGTTTTCACTAACTGAAAACTATCACATCAACAGAGATTTTACCTTTTAACCTAATAAGAGAAGACTTTCCAGAAATCAATGGTTGCTTCATTTTCCAATCTCAGAGATTTGAGACTTTACAAAGCCGTATGTGCGTCCAAGTTTAAGATCCTGCATTCATGGACAATATACTGTCAAAAAGAGAGACTCTTGATATGGTCTAAACTGATGAGGAAGTAAGTTTTTCTGTACTGAAATTTGGTTCTAAACCTTTTTCTTATTAACTAACTTGATATGTTATGTCTTAGGGAGCAAAAATATCTCTTTTAGCTGCCAACTTCATCTTCGTGTTTTGGATGTTTCTGTTGAAACTATGATAACTTGATATGCATACGAGGAATACCGAGAAAATCAGGTAGGTTGCATCTATCTTTTACAAACTATGATAATTTGTTAAATCATATTAAGTTGTTGATGGAATCATGATGATATGTGATACCTTTTTGTTGTTTCTTCTCATTTTGCTTATCTTACTGTTGTTTCAGATCTTCATTCACACCTATCAGACTAGCAAATCTGTGTAAAAATCTTGAGAATCTGGAAACAAAAGGGAGTTTAGGATGAAGCAATCGAGTTATAATTCACTGATCCACAAATTCCAGAATTTACAAGATTAGGCAAAAGTAACCTTAGTCTAACCAAGGTAAATAATTAGTGTTGGTCGTTTGGCAACAAAAACATCATTTATTTTACTTTAAAAAATAACAATACGTACTTAGAGCTATTGGATTGATTATTATCAAGATTCAAGCATTGGTCTATAAAACTATAACTATAAAAGATAGATGCGTAAACGGATCTGAGAGAAAGAAATTACCATTTCTTGCATGTGCTAATTATATTAGAATTATAAAATCAATTGGTTAGAGATTTATATACCTGCAATTGAACAAAGACAACGTGGGTTAGAACCAAAAAAATTGAACGAAGTGGTTGAGAAATCAGACACCAAAGATTAAACTAAGCATGTGATCTCTTACAATTAAAGTCAAATTAAATGCAACAACGACGGGTAGTCTGAGAAAACATATCCCGTCGTTGCAACGACCTCTCCTCCCGCATATGGGATGCTCTTCTCCGTATAATCGCTTCCACTAAAATTGCTTCAAATCTGTCGATGCTTTGATTCGAGAGGATGAACTTACTCAAGCTTTCGCCAATCAAATCTTCAGACATGGTTCTCTGTTTGACCTCCTTCAACCTAAGTAGCACCGAAACGGGTACGGGAACTAGAAACGGGTACGGAAACGGGGACGGAAAACGGCAAAGTAAAAATTCATAGATACGGGGACGGCATGGGTACTTCAATAAATATATAAGAATATATACATATATACCTTTAGTGAGAGGCAATTAGAAAGTTAATGGGAAAAATATAGAAGAGAAAAGCAACTAGAAAGTAGAAAAACATGAAAATGTGAGGAGGTAAAAATGTACTCATGATAAAAGGGTTGGGAATGAAATTATAAGGATGTGAATGTTAGAATTTCAATGTTGTTTTCCTCTGAATTATCTAAAAATGTTTTTTAGAACACTAGGAAACACCAACTTTGAAGCTAGAATATCTGGGAAACGTCCCCATAACTACTTATTGTCCCCGCCTTACTCGAAACATCTTGGGGACGTTTCAGAGCTGTCCCCATGATGTCCCAGTTTCCGAAACGTCTCTGGTACGGGAACGGCTACCAAATAGAAGTCCCCGTGCTCAACCTCTATTATCGACTCTTCATCTCTGTTCAATCGAATCTTCATCTCAGCCTCGTGGAATCCGAAGTACATAATTACTCTCCTTCTTGGGCCATCTCTTCTTTCTAGCCAATGTTGGGCTTTTTCTGATTCAAAATTGGTTCTCCTTTGAAGTGTGTTGGACTACTTAGCCATTGGGCCATGTAACATTTTAATTCTAATGCTTTTAGTAGAATATCGTTTATCTCAACAAAAATGTAGTGGACTAAAATATTTTGCATTTTATATTAGAAATGGTATAATATAATGTTTTTAAATAATACTTTTTAAACGGGTTCTTTTCATTGTTTTAAATATATATCACTAATCTAAAGATAAAGTGAATAAAATAAATATATATTTTTAACAATTGTAAATATTTATCATATCTACCCAAATTATTTATTTTGAGTAAAAGAAATTATTTATTTCATGAAATACATTATTTTATTTTGTTTTGAATCAAACTGTTATGTACATCACATGTGATTGTGTGAACCATTTAAAATAAAACTTTTAAATTTACTCGAATTATATGTTTTTAAATAAAAAGTGTTATTAAAAGAAATAACAAAATGATGTTTAATTTTACGGAACGAGATTATATGGTGGGACGGGTTTGGATTGAAATTAATACGAGACAATATATCACGGGTGAAATCGTAGGATTAACAAATCAAAATATAATTATACAATTTTAAACACTAAACAAAATATATACAACTTAAAATTTCTATTTTTTAGTTACAACGCATGTGATCCGCGGTGTACAACAAAAAATATTATATACAACAAATGCATCAGTTTATAAAAAGATAAAAAAAAAATCAAATAATTAACCCGCGGTGTACCGCGGGTCATATCCTAGTTAACCTATATTTATATAACCTAAAGTTCCAAACCCATCAAATCCTAAACCTAACTACCCAAGCCCAATAGCCCACCATAAACCTAACTCAAAGTCTCTCTTAGCCTCTTATATATTCTTCTCTACGTCCAAACCTAAATCCTACTTTGTTCTCTCTTTCTCAAAGACAGAGCAGACAAAAACTTTCTCTTGTGTTTTGTGGTATCTTTAAAACTTTGAGTGTTTTTTGACCTAATACTTTCCAAGTTTCAACTATTTTTTGGATTTGTTATAGTATAATGACTAATATGTGATGTTGTATTACATACTTACATAATTGTATTTGAATTTTGCATTATGATTCTATTATTATTTTCGGTTCCAAAAATACCCGAAACAATTTGGTTCCTATTTGGTTCCAAAATTTATTACCCGAACCGAACCGAACCGAATAGGAACCGAACCAGAACCGAACCGATTTTGATTTGGTTCCAATATGGTTCTTAAATCTTAGAACCAAAATACTAGGAACCGAACCGAATACCCAAACGCCCAGGCCTAATAGAAACCACAATAATTGGCAACCTTGCTATGAACAAGTTTTTAGTTTTATTTGTTTTATCTTATCTCCATCACCAAACATTCTTTTATTACGATGTACGCTCACTTTCTCATGGTTTTGGACAAACTTAATTCATCTTTATAAAATACCAACGATCTAGTGACATTCTATTTCTTTATTAAGTAAGGATCAAATTGATCTTTTAATATTTGATAACATACTTGAAGTAAAGCCCATTATTCTTTCCATCTATTATTGCATAGTGACAAAATAATAGAACATTAAGGATGCATAACTTGTTGAGTCATAAACCTTTATGGGATCTAGGGTTATAGAGACAACCCATGTAAAATATGCACTCGTATCAATAATATGAAGCCGTTTCTCTTTAACATGGGTTGACTACCATCACCCTAAGTTCAATGAAGATTATGATCAATCAAATCCAGATGAAAAAAAAAAAAAAAAAAGATCAATCAAATCCGACATTTTTTCAGTTATCTAAAAGATGTAGATCATTAGTGAAAAATGCAGTAATTGCTGATTATATATAATATGCAAGAAATGAGTAAGTGCTTTAAGGGGTTTGATTTTTTTTTTTTTTGTTCTTTTCATTTCTTTGGAATTGAAAGATAATGTAAAGTGTAAGTAACTTTCAAAATATATAAGATTTTTTTCTAGGTCACAAAATATGCACCATTTGTACATTCTCATCCTGCAGATTGTGGTTTCCAAAACAGGGTATACGGATTACTTAGGTATTTGTACATTCTCATCCTGCAGATAGACAGTTATTTTATTAATCAAGATATACCCGTATACATCACGAGTTATTTTATTTGTACATTCTCATCCGTATACCCTGTTTTAGAAACCACAATCACTTGATGGTCAGCTTTTGTTAACGAGTCTATTGGCTTTCCGTAACCAGAATCGTCTGAAAGGAAAAGAATGTTATGAGTACGAGGGTGATTCCGAATCCACTTTGGTATAATCTGTTTTATCTTCAGATCTGCAGCTTGTTTTGTTTTTGGCGGTTGGAGGTCCTGAAATAAAACTATATTTCATTCATTACATCAAAGACACAAATAGTTCACCAAAATAAAAGAATAACTTACTTGGAAAATTGTTGGTAATGATGAGTTCAATGTTCTCTGTGTTCTTCATCATCTTCAGGTTTGGCATAGGTGATAGGTGAGTCAAGGTAGCCCACAACCACCACAAATTGTACTGGTCCACCAAATCCGTTAACCTTAAGATGGTTCACGATCCTCTCAAACGCTAGTCCGTGATTCATACCAGCTGAAATCTCTAAGTTCTCGTAGTCCCACCAAACAATGGTGGGCACTTCTTTCTCCACAAGTGAGCGCATCTTTCTCCACAAGTGTCAGCGCATCTTTCTCCACAAGACTGTTGTAGTGGCTCATATTCTCCCATGACCTAAACGAGAGTAAGTTAGTTATAAGTGTCGAGTAATTCAATTGACTAAGATATAAAGAGCTTCATATTATTAATTACATGCATCAAGAAATATGTTCTTCAGATTTATATCCCGATGGATGATTTCTTTCATCATGGATGTGCATTAGGTCTTTTACAATTTGATGGATTTTTCCCCATACAAAATCGTTATTGGAGAAATTAAATTTATTCAGAAACTGAACGGAGGGTCCTTTATACAATACTCCAACTGAATATAAACAGTTAAAATTTCATCATCCGGATTTTACTTGAATTCTCACACGATTTGCTCGAGATGGGACTCGCAAAAAATATTTGAGTGAGTATCTTCTGCAATTTATGTTTAATTTCAGTTTACCCAACAATAAATTTCATTATATTTTTGAGTTTGAAAATTCAAAATATTTAATTTTAAAGAAATTGATGTATTATAATTTATAACAGTTAAAATCATACGATTTGGTATTAAGAATTTCAAAATCCAAAATTCATTTTTTAGGTTTTATTTAGTTGTATAAATTATTATATGTTAATATTATTATTTTTTTCTTTTTTGGATTAGAAAAACAATTTTTTTTTTTCTTTTTTGATAATGTTAAGGAAATAATTATATATTTTGACACGTGTCTTGATCATCATGTGGGTCTGGAAAACCAAGCTTGAAACTCTTACTACAAAACCTAATAACATGGGTTTAGATGGGCTATCATCTTGGGCTTTTATGTGCTCTAATAGTATTGTCGTTTGTATGACTCATGTTCTTCATCGGATCTAAAGCGCCACTCAAAAGGGTTTATGAAACCTTAAAGGTTAGGGTTTTAACAAAAAAAAAAAAAAACTCAAAGAAGATGGATTTCGAGAAGAGAAAAGCTGCAACACTAGCTTCAATTCGTTCGTCAGTGACTGACAAATCTCCCAAAGGTTTTCTCGACGAACCCATCATCCCTCTTCTCGAAACCATCAATCACCACCCATCTTACTTCACTACCAGTTCCTGCTCAGGTCGAATCTCAATCCTTTCTCAACCCAAACCAAAATCGAATGATTCAACAAAGAAGAAAGCTCGTGGCGGTTCATGGCTCTATATCACACACGACCCAGCTGATTCGGATTTGGTAATTTCTCTGCTTTTTCCTTCGAAGTCAAATCAGATTGACCCAATTGACCAACCTAGCGAATTAGTCTTCCGATTCGAGCCGTTGATCATTGCTGTGGAATGTAAGGATTTGGGTTCGGCTCAGTTTCTTGTGGCGTTGGCTATATCAGCTGGGTTTAGAGAATCGGGAATCACATCTTGTGGTGATGGCAAAAGGGTAATTATAGCTATACGATGTTCGATTCGAATGGAGGTGCCTCTTGGTGATACAGAGAAGCTGATGGTTTCACCAGAGTATGTGAAGTTTCTTGTTGATATTGGAAATGAGAAGATGGATGCGAATAGGAAGCGAACCGATGGGTTTAGTGTAGCTTTGACTAGTAATGGTTTCAAGAATCCAGATGAAAATGATATTGATGAAGATGATAATTACGAGAATCTAGCTGGAAATCATGATTCAAGTATCAACAACGGAAACTTGCATCCTGGTAATTTTTGTATAATTTCCTATGTGATTGTTGTATTTGTAGATAGCTTGAGTAATGCAATGAGGTTGGACATGTTGCAGTCTCTAATATAGTGTTTAACTATAGTCTTGTCTTGTTTAGTTTGTATTCGTAGAGTTTGAGTTATGTCTACTTGGTTTGCAGGATAACTTTCAAATTTTAAACGTGATAGCCAGTTTCCGTATGTAAATCATTGGCAGGGCTTCAGCAAGATCTCATACCGCTCTCGAAATTATCCATAGTCGGGGAACCTGTTGAGAAGCTCCACCTTTGGGGACACTCAGCTTGTACGATAGATAAAACAGACCGAAAAGAGGTTATCGTGTTTGGTGGGTTTGGAGGTTTTGGTAGACATGCTCGAAGAAATGAGTCTCTGTTACTCGATCCTTCATGTGGCACCTTAAATTTGATCACAGTCAATGAATCTCCGTCAGCACGACTTGGCCACACAGCTTCAATGGTTGGCGATTTCATGTTTGTGATTGGAGGAAGGGCTGACCCCTTGAATATTTTGAATGATGTGTGGAGGCTCGATATATTCAAGGGGGAATGGAGCTCACAGAGGTGTATTGGAAGTGAATTTCCTCCAAGGTAAATGTCATTTTTATGTGTCCATTTCTTCGACAAACCTTTGACCTATTTCCAATGATAAACCTCTATGGACTGTTTATTTTGTTAAATGAACCTCAATATCTCAGAGATGCCCTCTATTTTATTTTAGAAACTATTGATCCTGTTTATTGCACTTGGTTTGATGCCTATCTTGCTTCATATCTTTGATTTATTATATATGTTTTTTGTTGCTTGTTGCATTGGCATCCCTTCAGATAATTGTTATCTCGAATTTTCTTCTAAAGCAAATTCTTTGAATTTGAGCAGGCATCGGCACGCAGCAGCCAGTGTTGGCACAAAAGTATACATATTTGGTGGGCTTTACAATGATAAGATAGTTTCCTCTTTGCACATTTTAGATACAAAGGACCTGCAGTGGAAAGATGTTGAACAACAAGGTCAATGGCCCTGTGCGCGCCACTCTCATGCTATGGTTGCATATGGGTCGCAGTTATTCATGTTTGGAGGATACAATGGGGAAAATGTACTCAATGATCTATACAGCTTTGATGTCCAAAGCTGTTCTTGGAAACTTGAAGTGATTTCTGGAAAATGGCCTCATGCCAGGTTTTCACACTCAATGTTTGTGTATAAGCATATCATTGGCATAATTGGAGGTTGTCCTGTTTCACAAAATTGTCAAGAGTTGACTTTGCTAGATCTGAAGCACCGATTGTGGAGGAGTGTGAGATTGGAATTTATGAACAAAGAGTTGTTTGTTAGAAGTACAGCCAGCGTTCTTGGTGATGATCTCATTGTCATTGGGGGTGGGGCTGCTTGCTATGCTTTTGGGACAAAGTTTAGTGAACCAGTGAAAATCAACTTGGTTCAATCTGTGACTCTGAGTGAAAATCATGTTCCTCCACAACCTGAAGATGTTTATCTAGAATCGAACAGAAACAATGCAGATTTGAAGACTGAAATGTCTTTTTCTCAACCATGGGTGATACAGTTAGAAAGAAAGTATGCAAAGTTTGGCAAGGACATTCTTAAAAGTTTCGGATGGTTAGACCTTGAGAGGAAGGTTTACTCAAGCGAAAAAGGTCTTTGTATATGCTTTCCTGTGACTGAAAAGTTTTCTGAACTTTTCCATGAGAAGCAGCTTTTGGGCATGGACTTAGAAGGGCCAGAGGATGATAGCCTAGCAAAGGGTCTATCCTTAAAGGATATATCCAGCTCAGCGGCTTTGAATCTATTGAAGGAACATGGTGCTAAAAAACTCATTAATGTAGCTTTTGAAGCCAAAAAAGTTGCAAAATCCCCCTTACAGAGAATGAGAGAAGATATCACATCTATACTTAAACAGAAAGGCCTTCCGGAAGAGCTTTTGGACGAGCTCCCACAGAAGTAAGTGTTCCAGAATGTTGATTTTATAATACTCGGGACTAAAATGGTGAGAATCTGATTGCGTGCATGTTTGTTTTTGCTTCCGTCTGATAAGTAATTGTGTTTTATCTACTGGTAGATGGGAACGGCTTGGGGATATTGTTGTGCTTCCTGCAACATCCTTTAAAGATCCAACTTGGAGCTCTATCAGTGATGAAGTTTGGTGTGCTGTTTCTAAATCACTTAGTGCCAACCGCCTTGCACGCCAAGTATGTTGCTTTTAGAACCTCACAACAATATTTTTAAAGTGCAAACCTGTATCTCTTACCTATTCATCTTAAAGTAGGCATGACCACGGTTACGGTTATTGCGGTTACGGTTTATTAACCCCCGGTTACGGTTATAAAATTTCTCTAACCGTAACCTTAACCGTTATATATACGGTTAAAACGGTTACGGTTAAATACGGTTACGGTTACAACGGTTACGGTTAAATACGGTTACAATTATTTAATTATTACGATACGGTTAATATCAAAGACAAAAACTTAGGTATTTTTAACCTTTAGAATAAAAATTTTAATAATGATATATCAAATAATATTTATTTTACAATATGTAATATATGTGATTATGTATTTTAATATTTATAGTTAATTAGCTATTTTGTTTTGTTAAGTAAACCAACGAATAACTAAATCAATGGTAATAATTCTAATGATTGAGTAATTGTTTTATTGAGAATACGTATTCCAAACAATACTATAGAAAGGATGTTATGAGATATAGAAAGGATGTTATGAGAATTAAGAAACGATTACAGGACTAGAAATAATAACTTGTAAATTATTTATGATTTGATTTATGGAAAATGAGTAGTGGACGAGTGGAGTGGTTTAAATTTAGTAGTGGGCGCATTGAACCATTTAAGGCACTGTTTTAGTGAAATAATTATGTATTTAGGTTTTAACTGCACGGTTAACTATGCGGTTAGCCGTGCGGTTAACCGTACGGTTAACTAACGGTTTTGATACGTTTACGGTTAATTAACGGTTACGGTTAGTATATTTTTTAACCGTAACTAATCTGTTTTTACGGTTAACGGTTACGGTTATTAACCGTTTTGTACGGTTACGGTTCGGTTACGGTTGAAAAACGGTCCGGTTACGGTCCGAAATACGGTTACGGTTAGCTTTTGGTCATGCCTATCTTAAAGCACCTCAAAATCTACAATATTGATTTATTATATAAGTTGTGAGAATGCTGAGAACTTTACAAACCATTGTCTTACCCAATTGCATGTGCTTACCAGTTACCAGTAAAACTTATATCATCGATTTTGTGTCTTTTTCAGGGACGAGTTGAACCTAATGGTACAAGGGATAGTACATTGGAGATTCTCGTGGGAGATAGTGGATGGGTTGATCACCGTGAAAATGGGATCTTATACTCTTTCGATGCTACGAAGTGTATGTTCTCATGGGGTAATCTCTCAGAAAAGCTTCGTATGGGTAACATGGCCTGTGCAAATGAAGTTGTGGTGGACCTGTTTGCTGGAATTGGATATTTTGTTCTCCCATTTCTTGTGAGGTATGCCATTATTGAATGAATTAGAGAAGAGAAAGTGGTTTTATACAATCAAAAGTCAATACCTTTATTAATGCATTCTCAATTTACATTTGCAGGGCAAAAGCAAGGCTAGTATATGCTTGTGAGTGGAATCCCCATGCTATCGAAGCTCTTCGACGTAATGTTGAAGCAAATTCTGTTTCTGACCGTTGTATCATTCTTGAAGGGGATAACCGGATCACAGCACCGAAAGTACGGTTGATGATACAAACTGATCACCATCTATCTAATTCTATGTGAATGGTTCATTTTATCACTGTTGGATCGAGTAAATCGCTGAAGTAAAAGATTTTGCGTTTCTCAGGGAGTAGCTGACAGAGTCAATCTTGGTCTTATCCCGAGTAGCGAAGGAAGCTGGGTCACAGCTATTCAGGCATTAAGGTGATTTTACTTTCCTTAAAACTTGTTCTTTACTACAAGAACCAGCCGCATAAAATCTGGAACAAGTTTTAAGGTGCAGTCTCCCCAAAAGATATAATCCTTAAAACGATTCAAACTCAGGGATGAAAAAATCTTATGCCACACTGCTCTTGGAATTTTTGAATATGATCCAGGAATGTAATCATCAGAGAGAGCAACCACTCGATAGAATGTGAATTCACTGATGTCTCTGTTCTTGTTATTGGAACTTGTAGGCCTGAGGGAGGAATACTCCATGTGCATGGAAACGTCAAAGACTCAGATGAGAGTAGTTGGGGGGAGCATGTCACCAAAACATTAAGTGATATCGCCAGAGCCGAAGGTAATAAGTTTATTAACAAAATCGAAAAACTTTTTGAACTCAAATAAAGAGCCTTGGTTTTTGAAATTTGCTTTTGGTACTCGTAAACCAGCGTAACCAAGTAGAAGAATAACCTTGTTGTTTCCACTACCAAAAACTGAGTTTCTGAATACTAGGATTTTACTGGGTGATGAGATTTCTAATCTTGATTTGGGTAATACTAGAAAATAACTTGGGACTTATATTTTTGGGTTGTCATGGATTAGGTCGTAGCTGGGAAGTTACAGTGGAACATATAGAGAAGGTGAAATGGTACGCTCCTCGAATTCGCCATCTTGTCGCCGATGTGAGATGCAGATGATGATGGCAACAACGAGAGTGCAGCGCAGACTTCCCATTGTATTGTTTAACTTGTATGATCTCAATTTCGATAACTGGTTTTTCACCATTTGAGACATTGATTACTCTGTAGTCTGTACCATTCCCAATTACAATCAGTTCCCCGGTAACAAGAGTAGTTCAAAAGAGAAAAAAATAGGTTGGTGGTGATTCTTGCAAAACTTCTAATGGGCCTATAATGGATATCCACATCCATATAATAATACTATTATTCATAACACTTAAATAGTTAAAACCCTAAGTCGCTTTTCTCAAAATAGTTGACCACCACCTCTGTCTCCGTTATTAGGTATTTGTGAGAATCTTCATTCTCATTGAGTTTTACGTGGCTCTATATATAACAAATGGTTCTTCACTCACGAATTGCTTACAAGGTAGCACCCTTTTAAAATTGCTCTCTCTTTTCTTATGAATCTTCTTAAAGTGTTTGATGATTTTTTGGTGTTTTATTTTGCAGAAAATTAAGCAAAAGCTCGGGAGAAAATTGCCTAAGATTAAAATATCCAAAGGTATCTGCTTTCTCCTGCAATTCAAACTTTGTTTTTTGCTTCTGTGAGTATAATAGGTGGTTGAAACTTTCTTTTGTTTATATTGCAGCAATGATACTTCCTGAGCAAAGTGTGGCAGCTGAGAAAAGGAAAGGCTTGACCCTGAAGGATCTTCTGCAACAAACTTCATATTGCAATGCCAAACTTCGCCAAGGTACTTTTCTTCTTCTTTCTTGCTCATGTTTTTTTGGTTGAGGAAGACATGATGCTTGCTATGTGGATTTAATATATGATTTTGTCTTGTGTAGATGCATTACATGGTCTCAAAGACCGTTTCAATAACCATCAGCAGAGCTGCAGTCACATAAATATGTTATCATTCAGAAACTTAGGGAACTCATTAGTGATGATGATAAGCTTGTTAGAGATTCTCTTTATCAACTATTTGACACTGTCATCTTTCCTGCTTCTAAAGAGGTATTAGTTCTTCTCTTTGGATCAAACTTGCATCCTTACTAGTTAACTGTCTTGTATCTAACAGCCAACAAGTCTATGTGTAAATCTATTCAGGATAACCTTATGGTGTCACTTTTAATGCCATACATATCTTGCGCTATGGCTCATTCATCGATTGATGTTCGTTTGATGGCTTCCAAATTTGAAAAGGTGACTATTTTGATTGATTTTTTGGATTGTGATACCGATACAGACTGATACATTTCCAACTTTTGCCTCTGGTGTTTTTTTTGCACGATCTTCCCTGAATTTTCCATGTGCTACTTGTTGCAGATTCTCGAAAACTACAAGGATAACTCATAACAAACCGACGATTTGATCCATTTGATTTCCTCAAAACCGGATTCAGATTGGCGTATCTTCTAAAATAGAGTAGTTCGAAAGAAAAGAAAAAAAGGTTTTTGGTGTTTCTACTTAGATTCTTGCAAAACTTTTTGTTTACATCCATTTACAGATTTTGTTTTTTTTTTTCTCATAAACCTACGAGCTCACACCATGGCCAAGGGATTTCTAGATAGTGGATGTCTCTATCGCATAACCTCAGCCAAGAGATCACACATACTACTTTAGGCCTAAACGTAAATCTTGTCAAGATGATTACGGAATCTAAAACCAGTAGCACATGTCAATAATAACATATGTATAGTATCATAGTTGATTTCAGAATACATGGCATAAGGAACATCAAACACAAAGAAGAAAAAACAGAGTTTTAAGAACACCAAACAACCCTCTTATTCAGGAACGGAATCACACTTGGAACATATACATAGCTACAAATAAAAGGGTTTGTGTACCGCGAGTCTTCATGTCGTCCTGTCTCAATTTGTTTTCTTACTCCACCTTCACCAATGTGGTAAAGAGTGATGCAAGTATAACACTTATAATCTTCTATGACAACTCCCTCGCACCATGCCATGATATTGTTATGCTTGTCAATGGAGTATCCTGGACGAGTCATACTACGGAACTGTAACACCGGAAGATAAGGGCGTGACATTAAAATATTTGGTAAATGAAACAACCCCATCACTTAACTTCTTTGTCACGCACATCGCAATATCCGTTGATACTTCTTCATCACCATATTGTATATCTTGTAGTAATAAAGAGAGTCTATCTCCACTAAAACTGCCTAATACTCCAGTTTCCCGCAAAGGAGGACAAACACATATATATGTTCTTGAACGTTTCCATGGCGAAATCAAAACTTAGAATAAAGTCTTCATTCTTTTCAGTTTTAACAATCCAATACATATTAACCTTCACTGACACACCTTTGCACTTGATATCTACATTCTCCTCGAACTTAGCACCGAGAGTTCTCCACAAATCGGACTCGAACGTATATATCTCACACTCTGGATCACGAAGAAACTGAGGATCGGAAAACCTCAAGATCTTGTAGTTATCACGACATGTATTGTCGTATCCAATCCCAAAGAAATTAGTTTCCTAGTAACAGTTCGATCCATTTGATTTTTCGCATAGCCAGATTCCAAACTGCGAGATTGGCGCATCTTGTTTGTCGGTAACTCGAATCATTACACATACATAGCATTAGTCCATCAGAGTGAACCATAGAAGCAATCAAATATGGATAGTAAAACACGTCAGGGATTGGTGAATCTGAAAAGATTCCGGTCACCGGATCCATGATTTGAACCGTCTGATGATCATTGATTCTTATGAATCGTTCCAGAGAGTGATCCAAGTGATTGTACATGAATCTCTTGTTGGTGATGAGATCGTACCATTGCTTCACGTATATTTGAATCGATTCAAAGATTCAGCAGGAGTCTTGTTAAGTATTTCTTCTACTAAATCAAGTGGCAGCGACGGAAACCGACGCCTCGAGGAAGCCATTGACGCTTTGAAAAGATTTGAACCGAATGAATCAGAGAGATGTGGTTTGTTGAATTATAAGGTTTCTTATTTCCTTTCTTAGTTAGGTACGTAGGTTTAAGACATTAAGCGCCAACTTGTGAAAGGAATCGTGATCAAGCGAACTTTAACCGAACCAAAAAACTGTAAATTAATAAAATCGGTTTTGTTTAAACCGGACTGAGATACTAGTCGAATTAACTTAACCCAAAAAAGATGATCGGTTTCGATCCCAAGTATTTGAATATTTTGATTTGTATTTTCACAAACCCTTAGGTCATTATTTTATAGAACTCTAGACTCTCTTGGCGACGAAAGAAAGAGAACCCTAGAACTAAATCAAAATCTAGAATGGAGAAAAAACAAAAAAATAATTTGGTACTGCCAGAGGAAGCATTGGTGAAAATCTTGGCTAGATGTTCACTGAGAAGCATCGCTAGATTCAGATCAGTGTGCAAAGAATGGAAATCCATTATCGACTGCGACTTCTTCCGAGATTTCTACGAGTCTCTCAACTCTTCCTCATCCTCAGTTTCGTGGTCAATCATGGAGAATAAGAACAAAACAGAAATCGTGGGACACCATGGATGCAAGAGATGGGAACTTACCAATTCCTTAGGATCTTTCATCACACGTTACAATCCCGAGACCGCAGTGAGAAAAACTAGTGTCTTGTGCTGCACGGATGGATTAGTATTGGTTTACACGGAAACTATGGAAGGAGCACCAATGTATCATGTCGGAAACCCGTTGTTGCAACAATGGGTTCGAATCCCTTTTCCTCCACATCTCTCGGGTTATGACGTCGTGAGGTTACAGGAGGATGAAAAGTTTAACGACAGTGGACTTGTCACAAAGATGGAAAAGGGTATTGCCGTGGGTTACAAGGTTGTCTGGACTTTGGTTTCAGATGTGGTATCTAATGAACTCACTTTTATGATATATTCATCTGAAACAGGATTGTGGATAACCAAAGAGGTTCGTTGTCTCCGTAGCTTGATCTGGTCTAGACTAGCGCGTTCCGTTCCTTTAAACGGGATTCTTCACTGGCTTGCTACGATTGATAACTCCTCCATTGACGCGAATTATATTGTAGCTTATGATTTCTATAATGGAGGAGGTGATGAGTGTCCTATCATACCTTTTCCTGATATCCAACAATTTCAAGCGACTCGGCGTTTCAAGAGAACAATGACAACGTCTGCTGGATTCGTGGTGTATTGCAACGTTTACAGTGAGAATAATGAAGGAGAACGTGGAATCAGGGTTTGGAGGCTGGTCTCTACAAATGAGCATCCTAATTCATGGCAACTCTCGTGGAATGTCAAAACCAAGGGTGTGGTTGATTATTTCCCTGTGGTGATGCATCCTTTGAACTCTGACATCATTTACTTGTGGTGTTGGAACAAGAACGCTCTGCTCTTGTTAAACTTGAGGACACACAAGTATAGTCTTTGCAAGGAGAAAAATAAGAAGAACAAGTCTATGGATGATTGCATCATGACATTTAGCGGTTGCAAGGAGTATATGGACTTGATCTATCCAAATTTCGTCAATGATATGTACCGTGCTTCTCACCATCTCTTCTTTTCGCAGTACGTGCTCCCATGCTGGTTCAACCCGCTCCCTCGGCTTTCTTCTTGATTATGCATGTTTATCATTTGATTCTTGTCTTTTTTTTTAAATGTTTTTCTTTCTTTATGATACAAGTATGCTCTTTGTGCACCTAATTGGTCAGCTTCTCTCATATTAAGTTCTTGCTTTTTCATATAAAGATCTCCAAACTGTAAGTAAACACGAGACATTTGAAGATAAGCTTTAAATTGTGTTCATGCTGCATCAAAGAAGAGAAAAGATTGTCGGCAATATATTTGACTCTTCCAATGTGCCATCAGATTATTCATAATACTAATCTCAATCTTCGAAACTCTAAGAGTATCAGTTACGTAAATCCTTACTTGTCTTTTGTAGTTTTCTTTATCTTATGAAGCCTGATTCAAAATTTTCTGAGCTTTTTGGGGATGATTTGTTTAGTTTTTCAACAATTAGAGATTAACTTTGTAAGTGGAGAAAGAGAGAGTCACAAGAGCTAAAGAGAGAGTCACGTACCGGATTCAGTTCCATAGTAAGAGTCCAACGGTTCGATCCATTTGATTTTCCTCGTTACGTACCGGATTCCAAACTGCGAGATTGACGTCTCTTGTTCGTTTGTAAGTCAAATCACTACAGATACATAGCATTAGTCTATCACAGTGAACCATAGAAGCAAACGAATATGGACAGCGAAACACTTCTGGGATTGGTGAATCTGAAAAGATTCCGGTCACCGGATCCATGATTTGAACCGTCTTATCATCATCGATTCTTATGAATTCCGGAGAGTGATCCAAGTGATTGTACATGAACCTCTTATCGGTGATGAGATCGTACCATTGCTTGCACGTATATTTGAATCGGATCAAAGATTCAGCAGGAGTCTTGTTGAGTATTTCTTCTATTAAGTCAAGTGGCAGTGACCGGCACACACGCTTTGAGGAAGCCATTGACGTTTGCTGTATCAGAGAGATGGATTCTTGAATAACATGGTTTTGTGTTTCCTGTCTCAGTTAGGTTACCTTAAGCGCCAAGGCAAGTTCTGAATTTTGTAGTTCTTATGTTAAGTTTTGATTTTGTCGTTTACAAGTTAGAAGAGTTCATTAGACTTTCAAGAAAATTATAAACCGGAATGTCAGAACCCAATAACCGGGTTCACCTTCCTACTTAATTTTACAACGATTAAACGTTGTCGTACTGAGACATGTAAACGGCAGCGGTTAAGGCCGTTTCGTACGACTCATCTTCGCCACCGGCTATATATATATAATCATAAATCCTCTGGATCTTGGATCGAAAATAAAGAATGGAGAACAAACCAAAAATGAATTTGGTGCTGCTGACAGAGGAACCATTGAAGAACATCTGGGCTCGATTTTCATTAAGAAGCATCGCTAGATTCAGATCAGTCTGCAAAGGATGGAAATTGTTAATCGATTCTGACATCTTCCGAGATCACTATTTGTCTCTCAACTCTTCCTCATCCTCAGTGTCGTGGTCAATCATGAACAATAAGAACAAAACAGAAATCGTCGGGCACTATCGATGCAAGAGATGGGGAATTACCAAATCCTTAGGATCTTTCATCACACGTTACAATCCCGAAACCACAGTGAGAAAAACTAGTGTCTTGTGCTGCACGGATGGATTGGTATTGCTTTACACCGAAACTATGGAAGGAGCACCAATGTATCATGTCGGAAACCCGATGTTGCGACAATGGGTTCGAATCCCTTTTCCTCCACATCTCTCGGACTATGATCTCGTGAGGCTACAGGGGAATCGGTATTTTAACGACAATGGACTGGTCACAAAGATGGAAAAGGGTATTGCCGTGGGGTACACGGTAGTCTGGACTTTGGTCTCATGTGGAGTATCTAAAGAACTCACCTTTATGATATATTCCTCTGAAACAGGATTGTGGATAACCAAAAAGGTTAGTTGTCGCCGTAGCTTGATCTGGTCTAGACTAGCGCATACGGTTCCTTTAAACGGGATTCTTCACTGGCTTGCTACGATTGATAACTCCTCTTTAGATGCAAATTATGTTGTAGCTTATGATTTCTATAATGGAGGAGGTGATGAGTGTCCTATCATACCCTTTCCTGATATCCACCAATTTCAAGGGACTCGGCGTTTCAAGAGAACACTAACAACGTCTGCTGGATTCGTGGTCTATTGCAACGTTTACAGTGATAGTAATGGAGGAGAACGTGCAATCAGGGTTTGGAGGCTGGTGTCTACGAATGAGAATCTTAATTCATGGCAACTCTCATGGAAAGTCAATACCAAGGGTGACGTTGATTATTTCCCTGTGGTCATGCATCCTATAAATTTTGATGTCATTTACCTGTGGAGTTGGAACAAGAACGCCCTCGTCTTGTTTAATTTGAGGACACAAAAGTATAGACTTCACAGAGAGGCAAAGAAGAGCAAGTCTATGGATGGTTGCATCTTGACATTCAGCAACTGCAAGGAGTATATGGACTTGATCTATCCCAGTTTCGTCAATAGTATGTTCCATGGTTCTCACTATCTCTTCTTTTCACAGTACGTGCTCCCACGTTGGCTAAACCCGCTACCTCGGCTTTCTTCTTGATTATGCATGTTTATAATTTGCTTCTTAGTGTTTTTCTTTCTTTATGATACAAGTATGCATTGAGAGAAACCATATTTATTAGGGTTTCTATTGCTCTTTTGTCCACCTAATTGGTCAACTTCTCTCATATTAATGTGTTCATGCTGCATCAAAGAGCAAAGATTGTGTGGAATTTGACCATTTAGTTACCATCTGAGTCTATAGAAGCAAACCACTCTTCCAATGTCCCATTCGGGTCCTGATTATACTAATCTCATCATCATCATCACAACCTCCATTGTTGTTGTAATACTTCCAAAGCTTCACTTTGCTCCACCCATCTCCTCTCTCTCTTTTGGCTCCTCCACATTCCTACCAAAGTGAAGCTTGGTACAGAGGATTTCGCCATCTTGTCGCCCATATGAGATGCAGATGATGATGATGATGATGATGACAATGCCTAGAGTGCAAAGAGACTTCCCATTGTATTGTTTTTAACTTGTATGATCTCAATTTCAAAAACTGGTTTTTCACTTTTTGAGACTTTGACTACTCTGTTCCAGTCCCGAAGTAATTAAGGCTTTTGGTGTTTTACATAGATTCTTGTAAAATGGATATTTTTGGATGTAATATATGACCAGTGTTTGCATCTATTACCAGTGTTTGAGAGCGTACCATTGCTTGCACGTCTATTTGAATTGGTTCAAAGATTTGGCAGGAGTCTTGTTAAGTAATTCAAGTGGCAGTGACCGCAACACACGTTGGGAGGTTCCGAAATATCCTCTCCTTCCCACGTATTAAATTTTCTGAATATTTTGATGTTTGTATTTCACAAATCATAGGTCAAATATTTATAAACTTTAGACGGGAAAAAGGCCTTTTTCAACTTTTTCAACCTGAACAATTTTTAAAGTGTGTTTTTCAATCTGAACAAACGATCAATGCTGATTTATACCCCAACGTTTAAAAATTTCAAATTATCTATCTCAACTGTTATTTTAGTGCGTAATTACGAGTCAGCGTTAACATAAGTTAGTCAACCGTAACGGTTGCGGAGTCAGATGACACATATGTGTTGAGGTGGCATGTTCTTTAAACAAAACAACGTAATTTTACGTATAAGAATTCAAATTTTTTTTAAAAATGCAAAACCAGAGACTCGAACACGTGACCTCATCTTAGTCTCATTGAATCAGAGGTTGCGTGTTCGAGTCTCTGGTTTTGTATTTTAAAAAAATCAATCCTAAAACGCAAAATAACGTTATTTTGTTTAAAAAACATGTCACCTCGACCAATATGTATCATTTGATTCAGGAATCCTCATTGTTGACTAATTTCCGTTAACGTTGACTTGTAATTACGCATTAAAATAAGAGTTGAGGTAGGTAATTTGAAAATTTTAAACGTTGGGATATAAATCAGCACTGATCGTTTGTTCGGAGTTGAAAAACGCACTTTGAAATTTTTTCGGGTTGAAAAAGGCCCTATCCCCAACTTTATACTCTCTTAAGTCTTATCCTAATAGAATAAGGAATTATGTGCTTATCTAAAAAGGAAAATATACAATTCACGGTTTAAGGCTTTAAGCCATAAATAGAGAGGAATATATATATATATATATATATATATATATACATGCATTTTGTCAGTTATTTATGATTGAAAATATTAAATAAATCAATAAATTAATTGATACCATATTTTCAAATATTAAGTATAACACAATTTATTTGTCCAAAAAAAAGTATAACACACTTTATAAGGAAAACAAATACAAAAAGAGTGACTTCTTTTAAGTGGATTTACAAAAAAAATGCATTACTTGCAACTTACGAGAGAGTTTCAAACAGATCAAACTAACTTTCACTTTGGTTTTTCTCCGGTTTAGGACTTCTTCCCTAAACTGTTATTCAAGAAGACAAGAACAAGAGCATAATATGATTCAATTGATTGGAAGAAGCTCCCCTTGTGGCTGCAAGTTGCTGCCAGTATTCATCATTGTTTAATCGTACAATTTTCTTATGTTGTTCACTCTGAGTTTTAATATTCTTGAATCTTCAGATTAGAGTTTAGCTTCCGTGCAATCCGAAGCCGTTTTCAGTCAATCGGATTTTCTAGGCTTTGTCAATGGTGAGAAATCGACTTTATTTGTTTAATCGTACAATTTTCTTACAGTTTTCTACATGTTGCCAGCTACTCCCTCTGAATGATTTTTGAAGTTTTTCACCAAAATTAAAAAAAATGATTTATATTTATTAACTACTTTTGTGTTATATCTTTTAAAAAGTTAATTTCAAGTTGCTTTTTATCCCACTTATTCCAATCAATTAATCTTGAAAATAAAAATGCATTAAACATACTACAGAAAATCGATCTTTTTGATACAAAAAATTCTCAAAAATCATTTTTTTATACAGAGGGAGTATGTATGATTGCAAAATAGAAATAAATCAATAAATTAGTTGATACCATATTTTCAAGTATATAAAACCATATTAAAAAAAAAAGTATAACATACTTTATAAGGAACACAACTAACAAAAAGAATGACTTATTTTAAGTGGGTTTTACAAGAAAGTGCATTACTTGCAAGTTGCAACCTAGAAGATGCCAAAGGACAACTAGAGAGTTTCAACACATCAAACTAATTAATCTCACTTTGATTTTCTCCGGTTTAGCTCTTCTTACTAAACCGTTATTATGGGTTACACTTTACACACAAGAACAATATGATTCACTTGATTGGAAGAAGCTCCCCTTGTGGCTGCAAGTTGCTGCCACTTCTCATCATTGTGCGGAATTCCTCAAAGTTTATTTTTCCATCCTGTAACAGAGTTCATGTTCATTACTTTCAAAGGTTTCAAAAAACCGGTCTAATGTTTCGTGTTTGATGTATTAGACCAACTTACATTATCGGTATCGACTTCCGTTATAATTTGTTTGATGCTACCTTCATCACCCACACCATGCTCCTTCAACGCCATCTCCAATTCTTCCTTCGTTATGTGCCTATTGTATAGACAAGCATTTCACATTTTAGTTCAAACTTTTATCTCATTGTTCCTCGCAAGAACATTATTCTACTGATAAGCAAACGTGGAAGAAACTTACCCGTCGTTGTCTTTGTCAAAGTGTTGGAATGCTTTGTACACATGATCATCTCGATCCAATTTATATCTATGCATCGTGGCAGAGATAAACTCGTCTATGTCGATTGTTCCATTACCATCCACATCAGCCTGAGAAGTTATCATTATGTGTTACAAAGTTATATTTTCTTTAACGATTTTGGATTCAACAAGTACTCAACAAATGGCGAGTTAAAAGGCAGTGATGATAACTCACGGCTTCCATGAGTTGCTCCACTTCGGTTTTAGAGAGGTTAGATCCAAGTCTAGTTAGACCTGTTTTGAGTTCTTCAACAGTTATTGTGCCACTTTTGTCGGTATCAATGTTGGTGAACAGTGTTTTAAGACCTTTGATTTCCTCTTCTGATAGACTTGCTGCAATAACCTGCAAATCAGACGCACACATCATGACCGGTGCTTCATACACAAAGATAGGAGGAGGTAACAAAAATCGTGAATGGTTACTCTGTACCTTTAGAGCTACCTTCTTAAGCTTGTTCATATCTCGAAATTGCTTCAATCGGGATAAAACAACGCCATCAATAGGCTTATCCGAAGCTTCTCCGTCTTTCATCCAAGGATGTCCTATATGCAACAAGGAGATTAGTAAAGCATTACATGACAAGAACAAGAACAAGACTTCAAGATTGTATTGGCTCTAGAACAATCAAGAAAAGAGAAATAAAGGAACTTACGAAGAACCTCTGCAGCAGAGATTCGTTCCTTGGGGTTTCTAGTAAGCATCTTCATGACAAGATGTTTTGCCTTCCTATCTATAAGAGGCCATGGTTCGCTGTGGAAGTCGATTTCGGCACTCTTAATCTCATTGAACATTCTTGCCTCAGGTTCTACAAAATACATACAATAGATAATTACAAATAACGAATCAAACACCAAGAAGAAGAAGAATCCAGTTAGCTTGTAAGTTTGAACCTGTCACAAAGGGAGGTTTGCCGCAGAGTAGGATGTACAATATAATCCCTGCACTCCAAATGTCGGCTTCTTTCCCGTAATTTCCCTGTAATACTTCAGGAGCAACGTAGTAAGCACTCCCAACGCAATCCCGGTATACTTCTCCTGTATTTGTTGGTTTCAGAAAAAATGCATCAAATCAATCATATGAAACTAAGAAACAAACTATTTGTTGTACAACAGAAGACAATATAACCCAATTCTTGATGCTTAATGTATGAGTCACCAAATCCAAATCTCTTATGCATTGGAACAAAAGTAACCAGATTTTCTCCTGACTGAAGCAAACTAATGAGACTTGTGCAAGACAAATCTTATAGATTCAAAACATTAACATACCAAATCCAAAAATACCAAACTACTAAGATGATTCTATCAAAGACCAACCTTTAAACTCAGTTTTGGTCCCATCTCTATGCATTGGAACAAAAGTCACCAAATTTTGCTCATGACTGAAGCAAACAGACTCAAGGTTTTCCATACAATCTTATAGAATCCAAGTCTCTTATGCATTAGAACAAAAGTAACCAAATTTCTCATGACAGAAGCAAACTAAAGAGACTTGTGCAAGACAATCTTATAGATTCAGAACAGTTATATACCAAATCCAAAACTACCAAACTACTAAGATGATTCTATCAAAGATCAACCCTTTAAACTCAGTTTTAGTCCCATCTTAAACTTTCCACACAAATCTTATAGATTCTAAAAGCTCACCTTCTTGGATGAAGACAGAACACCCAAAGTCAATAGCTTTGAGCATAGCATTGTCATCGGTACTCGAGAGCAAGAAATTCTCAGGCTTTAGATCACGATGCATCACACCCATATAATGACAAATCTGCACAACATTCACAATCGGTCTAATGATTCCAACAGCATCTTTCTCAGAGTAAAACTTGTCAGCATTGGACAAAGCTTCGATCTTTTTGAACAACTCTCCACCACCACAAAACTCCATCACAATATGTACAGAATCTTTGTCCTCGTAAGCTTTCTTGAACTCCACAATGTTTGGTTCTCCAGACAAATGCTTCATAATACGAATCTCTCTCTTCACGGCTTGTTCATCTTCTTCGTTCTTTAGATTCGTCTTGAGAATGGTTTTGCAAGCGTAAGTCTTACCAGTTGACTTCTCAACGCATTTACGAGTTATACCGAATTGGCCTTGACCCAATTCATCACCGAGGATGTAAATCTTTGTGATGTCAACGAATGGTTTCTCAAGAATGGTTCTTTTTGATTGTTTTAGGTTCTTACTGCTGTAGCAACCCATTTAATCTGAGTTTCTAGAAGATGATCTTTGAGAAGAACAAGAACTCTGATTGTCAAAAGAGTAAGATTTTGGAAATGAGTTTTGGATATTTTTTTTAGATGAAGAACTCTTCACATTAAAATTAAAATATTGGTCTTTGAATATTCAAATTGGTTGTTTCTTTTTATAATTTGACTTAGTCCTCGAAGACTTTTGCTGTGTTTAGTTTTTACTCAATTATTTATCTATATAATTTTGGTAGTTTTTACAACATTTAATATTGTTCTTACAAAAATTATTTTTAAAGTGGATAGTGAAAATTACAAGAAAAAGGATTAATGAGCTTTTTCAAGAAAATTACAAGAAAATGGGATTGGTTACAAGAAGACATACAAACACACATTCAGATAGATAAACTACTCTCACCTCTGTTTTCCCCGGTTTAGCTATGATTTTTTCGGGTTTAAGAAAACCGCTTTTGGTTGAAACAAAAACAGAGCTTTATGAATAATGGATACCATTACCAAGAAGTTTCCCTTGTGGCTGCAAGTTGCCATTTCTCATCATCGAACAAAATTCTTCATAGTCTATTTTCCCATCCTGCGTAGAATTCATTACAAGATTCAGAACCGGTTAAATGTTAAACCGGGAAAAATAATGAACTTATGGAGAGAGCTATATACATTATTTTTATCTACTTCTGATATTATTTCTTTGGCATTAGCTTCATCTCCCATACCATGCTCTTTCATGGCTATCTCCAATTCATCCTTAGTTATGTACCTATCGTATAAACAAACCATTCAAAATTGTTGTTTTTAACATTTTCAAATCTTTAATTCTCTTGACACATAAATGATTGATTCATCAACTTACCCACTGTTGTCCTTATCAAAGTGTAGGAATGCTTTGTGCAAATGTTCATCGCGTTCCAATCGGTGTCTTTGCATCGTTGCTGAGATAAACTCTATGTAGTCTATTGTTCCATTCCCATCAACATCAGCCTGAAAAATAAAGTTATCATTATGTGTTTCAGATTCTTTGTGTAAGGAGATGTGGTTTATGATGATGACACTCACGGCTTCCATGAGTTGCCTAACTTCAGTTTCAGAGAGTTTAGAGCCATGTCTATTCAGCCCGGTTTTGAGTTCTTCATAAGTGATTGACCCGCTTTTGTCGGTGTCCATATTCTCAAACATGGTTTTAAGACCTTTGATTTCCTCTTCCGATAGACCCTCCGCGATAACCTGCAAACCAAACACACAAATCACAATCCGAAGTTCGAACGATAATTTCATAATCTTGAAGCTACTTTTTTACCTTAAGAGCTAGCTTCTTAAGCTTGTTCATTGCTCGGAATTGCTTCATACGTGATAAGACTACATTATCAATAGGTTGATCTGGAGCTTCACTTATCATCCAAGGATGTTCTATAAACCCCAATGATTGTTAGTTAGAGACAACCTTAAACTCGCACTAACATTTTAGACAGAAGAAGATAAAGACTTCAAGATTCACATAGTGTCACATAGGGGCTTACCAAGAACTTTTGCAGCAGAGATTCGTTCCTTAGTGTCTTTGGTGAGCATCTTCCCGATAAGATTCTTCGCTTTATTAGATATCAAAGGCCATGGTTGGCTCTCAAAATCAAGCCTGGCTTCCTTAATCTCAGCATCTACAACACAAAAGTACACACAATTACAAATTCAACCTTCAAGAAAAAACACATCAATGTATTTAGCTTAAGCTTTTACCAGTCTGAAATGGCGGTACGCCGCTGAGTAGGATATATAAAATAACACCAGCACTCCAAATGTCGATTTCCTTCCCATAGCTTCCCTCTAATACTTCAGGAGCAATGTAGTATTTACTGCCAATAATTCTCTCTAAAGTTTGCCCTGTAATTGTTGAAAATATAAATCTATGAATCAAAAAACTTACTAAAAATAGTATACTTGACAATATGATCAAATCTTGAATCTAAACAAGCTAATAAATTCCAAACTATCAAAGGCCTTAAATGATTCATTAAAAGATAAAATCTTATTAGCTCACCTTCCTTGATGTAAACAGAACACCCGAAATCGATAGCTTTAAGCATAGCATTCTCATCGTTACTAGAGAACAAGAAGTTCTCAGGCTTGAGATCACGATGAACAACATCCAAAGAATGACAAATCTTCACAGCATTCACAATCGACCTAAAGATTCCAGCAGCATCTTTCTCAGAGTAATAGCTATGAGACTTGACCAAAGCATCAATCTTGTCGTATAACTCACCACCACCACACAACTCCATTACAATGTGAACAGAATTCTTGTCCTCGTAAGAACCTTTGATCTGTACGATGTTAGGTTCTCCTGAAACATGATCCATGATTTGAATCTCTGTCTTCACAGCTTCTTTGTCTTCTTCGCTGCTTAGAGTTCTCTTAAGTATGGATTTGCAAGCGTAACTCTTTCCTGTTGAATTCTCTTTGCACAAGTATGTTGTCCCGAAAGTACCTTTGCCTAGTTCGCCTTCGAAGCTATAAAGCTTCTTGATGTCTTCCAATGGCTTCCCAAGAATCGTCTCTTGCTTTCTATGGATATCAGAAGCTGTCCGGGGTTTACTTCCGCAGCAACCCATGAATCTGTGTTGGGATTTTTTTAGGGTTTTAAGAAGATGAATCGAAGAGAAGCTGAGTTTTGAATTTTTGTGATGAACATCTCTTTGGCTGGTGGAGTCATATAAGTAAATGGTGAATTTGTTGTATTGGTCTTTAAATATTCATAATTTATTTTGGTCAGTTTAATTACTTACTTATTAGTCCTCGTGTCCTCGAAGACTTTATTAGGGCATCATCAATGGGGGATCATGTGAGGGTGTTCTTATAGAGAATATAATATTAAAATAATATAAGATCATGTGTTTAGATCTTTTGTTTAGAATTTGATTAGTGGGAGAACATGTGTAAGATCTTAAGACTTAATAATATAATAATCTAAATTAAATTAAGATTTTACAATTAGTAAAACATTTAAAAATAACATATAAATTGCAAATGCCAAATTTATGAAAAACTGAAAATAAAAGTGAAAATACAATACTAAATATTTATGAAAAAAACATTAAAAATATAAATAACAATAAACAAACAAACATATTACTTAATAAAAGCACAAAAATATTTTATCTAATTAATACATAGTTTATTATCCAAATTTATTCCAAATATGTTGAATATTCCAACCAATGCCCAAATGCCACGTCACCCCGCAACACCCACAAGAACAGATCCAGGTCAAGAGCCCAGTTCCTGATCTTAAGCCCATTAACCCATTTTTTTGGATTTAAATAATGCTTAGATCAGGGGGGTGATCCCCCAATGCAGATGGTCTTAGACGACTTTTGTGTATTGGATTGAGTTTGGATGAGTTACAAAAATATAATATAGATTTCATTATATTTATTGTATTGGATTGAGTTTGGAGGAATTATGAAACTATATATTTATGTATTAACAAAATAGATTATTTTAATTTATTGAATTGTATTGAGTTTAGAGGATTTATGAAACTATAATATAGATATCTTTAATTTATGTATTAACAAAATAGTTTAAAACCTATAGACTACAGTTTTAAAATTTAAAAAAAAAAAGAAGAAGTATTCTCACAAATGTAAACCCTAACTTCTCTAAGCTAAAATTTTAATCATAAAACCTAAACACAAATGTAAAAAAAAAAAAAAAAAGTTAGTTTCTTGAACGTTTTCTTAAAGATAATGATGAACTTTGAGTCTAAAATCAAAAACCAAAAACTATAAAATGTAGGATTTATGAGCTGGAATTTGAGTTGTATTTATTTATTTGTATTAATAAAATAAAGAATTGGTCTTTAAATATTCAAATTTATTATATTGGTCATTGGTGTTTTTTGTCAACGTTAATAATATTGTTTCTTTAAATATTTTAACTTTGTCGTTTACTATAATTGGTGCTAGGCCTCGGCGTTCGGTTATCCGATCGGTTATCGGTTAGTTCCTTTCGGTTTCGGTTATTTTGGTTCTAAAATTTAGTATCCATTCGGATATTTTGAAATTTCGGTTCGGTTTCGGTTTGGTTCCGGTTTTAAAATTTAGTATCCATTCGGTTATTTTGCTTAGGATATTTTTGGATATTTCAGTTATTTTTGAATATATTTGGATATTTTTGGATATTTTTCGGTTATCTTTTTGTATTTTTACTATTTTTATACAATTTATTTTTCAAATATTTTTGATTATTTGGTCTATAGATAATTAATTATTTTGAAAATATAATTGTATTTTGGGTATTTTTGGTTATCCAAAATATTTCGGTTCGGTACCGATTCGGTTACGGTTATTTCGGTTATAGAATTTAGTATCCATTCGGTTATTTTTGCTCCGGTTTCGGTTCGGTTTATTTGCCCTGAAATTGGTGCGTTTTTCTTGCTACTTCTTTATCAGTATAATAAAATTAGTCTTACTGTAAATTTATATTTTTCATATTGACAAACACTACGAGACTACATTAAATTTCGTGCATACCACGTATATTGAACATCCAGCTTAACAAACAGATAACCAAATAATAAACTCTTTTGTTAAAGTATCTCGTTTCTCTTCTGCTTCATTCTTTGCGGGAATGTGCTTGTATTGGCTTGTCTTTGATTTGTTTCATAGATGGCTTCTGTCGTTTTTGTGGGTTTGCCGTCTCTGATGCTTGTTGCGTCTTTTGATCCGGTCTTGTGTTTTAGCCTTCGTCTCGTTTAGCCTCTTACCAGATGTGGTGGTTGCTTTAGATTCTGTCCGGTTCGATCTCTTGCCGTTTATCTTGTTCGGTGTGGTCCGGATTGATTTGGTTCTCCTTGTCTCTACTCTAAAGATCTGATCGAGATCTCATCTGTTCATTGGTTGGTTTCTTTCGAGGCGTTAAACAATCATATTCTTTGATTTCGCCGCTTCCGGGAGTGTTGGTGTGATATTGATGCCTTTGGCCTTGATCCCTTCTCGCCGGTATGGATTCCTTAGAACTCGTCTATGTGAGGTAGTCTTCATCGTAATAGGTGGTACCGCTGTCCGTTTGGTTGGGAGTTCCTTACCCACTACGGAGTGGCTCGTCGTAAAGCTCTTCCTTTCTTTTGTTTGGTAAGGTGATTGATGAGATGTTGTGGTTAAATGTCGGGTTGTATTGTACTACTTTCTTGTTTCAGTTTCGGAATTGTTTCCCTGTTTGTTTAAGGCTTGTTTTGCCTTGTTGTTTCCCTTTTCTTTGGGCTCCGCTTCCGAGATTATCTCTTTAATCGTTGGCTTAAGTTTCTGGGGTTATTTGTTAACCGCCGGCTTTGTATTTCATCTTTGTATTTCACCTTGATTTCTATAAAAATCTTGACGAAAAAAAAAAACTCTTTTGTTAAAATATTCCAAACCTTTTTATAGGTTAAAATGATACAAAGCATGCATGTGACGTTTCTAGACCAATAATATACGATTAATCATCTAATTGATAAAAATATAGCAAAACATTTACTCTTTTAAAGTCTTCTTCATAAGGATTAAGAAGGTTCTCAGGAAAATTACAAAAGAAAAATGAAGAAGTGGATTTGTTATTGTTACAAAAAGCTAAGACATGACAGTATCTCAAAGTCTCAAACTCAGTTTCCAGACTAACTAAGGAGAAGGATAAATAAATCTGTCCAAACACAGAGAAGAAAGGAGAACATTTTGAGACAGTATATCAACGGAATCACCTCGGTTTACCCCCAGTTTAACTCTTCTCTCCGGGTTTAAGAAATCGCTTTCGGTTGATAAACTATTAGGATTTATGCCGTCTTGATCAATGGAATGGAAGCAACTTCCCCTGTGGCTGCGTGGTGCCGCTTCTCATCATCGCGCAAAATTCCTCAAAGTTTATTCTTCCATCCTGTAACAGAGTTTATTACAAGGTTTCAAGAACCGGTTTAATGTTTGAGATGTTGGCTTACAAGTTAGAGAGTGCAACTTACATTGTCGGTATCAACTTCGGATATAACTTCTTTGATGCTAGCTTCATCTCCCATTCCATATTCTTTCATGGCACTTTCTAACTCATCTCTAGTTATGTGCCTGTTGTATAACCAACGCATTAACATTGGTGCCTCAAAATAGCTACACACCTTTGGATCTTGACACAGGAAATGATTAATGGAGAGAGATGGAAGAAACTGCAAATGGAAGAAACTTACCCGCTGTTGTCTTTATCAAAGTGTTGGAATGCTTTGTAGACATGCTCATCTCGATCCAATTTGTATCTATGCATTGTTGCAGAGATAAACTCGTAGTAGTCGATTGTTCCATTACCATCCACATCAGCCTGAAAAGTTATCATCATGTGTTAAGTTTTGTCTTTTTTAAGATCTTAATTGTTAAAAAGTGAAATCAAGATGCTGAAGATAACTTACGGCTTCCATGAGTTGCTTAACTTCAGTTTCAGAGAGTCTAGACCCAAGCCTAGTTAGCCCGGTTTTGAGTTCTTCATAAGTGATTGTCCCGCTTTTATCAGTATCTATATTTGCAAACATGGTTTTAAGACCTTTGATTTCCTCTTCTGATAAACTCTCCGCGATAACCTGCAAATCAAACAAAAGTTCAGGCACAGGTAGATTGATATGAGACGTTTCAATTGATTAGAGAACACAAAGAGATGGCAAGACGATAAAGCAGAGGCACAATTAATAATAAAATCATAATTTTTTGAGCTACTTCTTTACCTTAAGAGCTAGTTTCTTAAGCTTGTTCATTGCCCGGAATTGCTTCATACGGGATAACACAGCGCTATCAATCGGCTTGTCCGGTGCTTCTCCCCCTTTGATCCAAGGATGTTCTATAAACCATAAGGATTGCTACATATTAGTAAAGAATTACTAGTTAGACTAAACTCAAAGACAAGAACAGATTAGACTTCAAGAACACCAGTGTCTTTTTAAGACCTATACAATGGACTGACTATCTCATTCTGGTGTTGTGCCCATAGAATGTATATTTAAGCCTTCTAAGATGGAATTTTTAATTAGAATTCATTAGATCACATAGAAATTGGAAAACATATACTGGTATTTACATTATCTTACCAAGAACCTGTGCAGCTGTGATTCGCCTCTTTGGGTCTTTGGTTAGCATCTTCCTAACAAGATCTTTTGCGCTCTCAGATATAGAAGGCCATGGTTGGGTTTCAAAATCAATTTCACCTTTTATAACCTCATCGAATATGCCTTTCTCATTTTCTACAACATAACATATGATTATAGATCACATCTCAAGAAGAAAACAAATCAATGAATTTGGTTAGCTTAAAGGTTTTTACCGGCCCAAAAAGGAGGTACACCGCTGAGTAGAATGTATAAAATGACACCTGCACTCCAAATGTCGATTTCTTTTCCGTAACTTCGCCTTAATACTTCAGGAGCAACATAGTAAGCACTCCCAACTATATCCCGGTAAACTTTTCCTGTTCGTTTCACAAACATAGCATCAAGCATATTAACATAAGAATCAAAATAAACGAAAATGGCATAGTTGACAATATCATGAAGATCACAATCTATACAATAAGACAACATAAACCCGATTCTCTTACTAAAGAGTCTTGAGCCCCATCCCTATGCATTGGAACATACATACGTCATAAAGAAAAAAAAATCCAGACTTTCGATACTAAAGAGATTTGTGCAAAACAGTCTTATAGAACCGAAACATTAATAAACATACTCGCATCCAAAACCTATCAAACACACTCAATATCAATACGCTAAAGAATAAGATCAACAGTCTCATTGTTACTCGAAAACAAGAAGCACACGTCTACTCGAGCTTGAGATCACAATGCAATGAACTACCCAACTCCTAAGATGATTTTTTATACTTAAAGAGACTAGTGCAAAACAATCTTATAGATTCAAAACTTTGACATACCAAAGCCAACTAAAATGATTATATCAAAGATCAACCTCTATAGCTCACCTTCTTCGATGAAGACAGACAACCCGAAATCGGTAGCTTTAAGCATAGCATTCTCCTCTTTACTCGAAAGCAAGAAATTCTCAGGCTTAAGATCTCGATGAACCACACCCATAAAATGACAAATCTGAACAACATTGACAATAGACCTAATGATACCAGCAGCAGCTCTCTCAGAATAATGACCTTGAGCTATAATCCTATCAAACAACTCACCACCAGCACACAACTCCATAACCAAATGCACAGATTGTCTATCTTCATAAGCACCTTTAATCTCAACAATATTTGGTTGTCCAGACAAATACTGCATTATCTGAATCTCTCTCTTCACATCTTCTTTATCTTGCTTACTAATTAGCTTCCTCTTAAGAATCGATTTACAAGCATAAGTGTTCCCAGTCCCAATCTCTTTGCACATATACGTAATCCCAAATTGACCTCGACCTAATTCTTTCCCCAAGCTGTAAAATTTCCTGATGTCTTCGAATGGTTTACCTAAAATCGTATCCGGATCTCGAACTGAGATTGGGTTTGAAGACGGCGTTGAAATCTGTTGATGGATTGGTTGATTCATGGGTTTAGGTGTTGGGATTTGAGGTTTACGATGCTCGGGGACTTGATTAACGACATGGGTTTGAACTGGATTGATCGGAATTGATCTTTCTCCGCCGTCGTTTTGAGTTTTCCGGTGTTTACTACTGAGGCAACCCATTGATAAAGGAGGAGACTTTCGTTCTTGGGTTGAAGAAAAAGATGAGCTTGAAGGATGATTGAAAGAGAGAAACCCAGATCGGAAGATTTTTTAAAGATTGAGGTTTGAGGAAGAAGAATTGAGTTTTGTTTGACTGGAATTGGAATTATCTATTACTATAATACTATCTATCAGTGGCGTCAATTTCTGAGTGTAATGGAATTGTCTTTGTCAATTTGCTGAAAATACTCGGACAATAAATTAATTATATTTTAAAATAAATTAAATTTGACTTACATTTTTCAAAGGAATTTATGGTAAAAAAATTTGAATATTTTGGTGTAGAAAGGAAAATTCCTTTTTTTTGTTGGACGACAGTGTACAGAATATTCCACTTCATAATTAGAAAAGTTTTGAATTTCGAACTGTCAATAGTTTTTTGTTCCCCAATCTCGCAGCTGAAAATATACATCGACGTCTTAAATTGGGCCACTCTAAAGGCTTTACTTAATTGGCCCATATACAATATTAAATCTTCATTTGCGATGGCTGCTGCTGATGAGACGAGTGTTGATGAGAGAAAGATAAGTGTTCATATTTTTCTGAATACAAGGTTCATCTTCATCACCGGATATATCCTATACTATTATTTGGGGAGTACAATTTATTAGAAACCCCTTACTAACCTTCTTTTTTGTAAAAATTTACATGAGATTGCCATTACAAAAAGCTCATTTTAGAACAAATTCATTAAGGTTATTATAGACAATTAGCACACTATCCATTTCACTAATCATGGGTCAACGGGTTTGCCAACGGGTTTAAGAAGATTCCCATAACAATAAGATCTCCACGTTTTTTCCATAACAACAACACCTACCAATTAATTCCTAATTACTTACATATATTATGAAACACCCTATCTCATAAAAGCTTTTATTATTTGTTTTGTATGTTATCGTATGGGTTGTATGTTATCGTATGTAGATGGTTTTTGCGTTTGAAACTCCTAAATATTTTTTGCGTTGTATGTTATCGTATGTTTTTATATGTTAACATATTTTCTGTGTTATCTATGTTATGGTATGTCTCTAATTCTTATAGACATCATTCGAATATTTGTATATTTTTGGTTAATTTATATGTGAAAGATTAATTATTTCATCAATGTTTTTATATTCGACCTAATCTTTTTTTTTTAGGTCCTTTAATACAAGTTATATTTCATACTTCTACATTTAAAAATATAGTTTAATAGGGAAGTGAAATCGGATCATTTTCGGTTTATTTTCTAACTAATTTTAGATTGTATTTGATATTTGAAATACAATATACGATATGAGAATGAAGATCTAAATCTTACCAATACGGTTTCGATAGTGATAAGATTAAAAACCATTTAGTTGTTTAATGTTAAGAATAATCCGATTTGAAACTAATAAAAATTATCATTTATATTTTCTAAACTGTTATCTTTAGATTAGTTTCAATCACTATATTCCACCTAATAGAGAATATACCTATATGGATTAAATTTCACAACTAATTTTAATTAGCTAAAAAAAGATTTGATAATATTTTTCGGAGATACTATATCTAACAAAGCCGCCCTTCAATGCTTATAAATTGGATTAGCTACGAGACTGCTTTAGTACATTCTCACAAAATCACCTCTTTGCACGAAACAAAAACCCTTCAAAATGGCCCTGGTCAGTCCCTATACTCCTATCAAAGATTTGAAACCTTTCAAGACTTCCTGGCGTATTCAAGCTAAGATTCTCCATACGTGGAATCATTATACTCAGGGTGCTGGGATGTCTTTTGAAATGGTCTTGGTTGATTCTGGTGTAAGTAGGATTTTGTTTGTCAACAATTAATAAGTGTTTAGCAATCTGATTTAAGTATTTATGTTAGTAGATTGGTTTACCATTTATTTCTTATAAACGCAGGGTAACAAGATTCAAGCAGGAATTAAGAAAGAACACCTCCAGAAGTTCCAAAGGGATATCAAGAAAGGAGAGTGGAGAATATTTGACGAGTTTTCAGTGAAGAAGGCAACAGGAATGTATCGACCAACAACTCATAACTACAGAATTGTATTTGAGTACTCTACTGTCATCTCCCCCTCTGAGACGATTTCAGAATCGATTTGGCTAGATTTAGTTCCTTTTAATTCAGTACTAAGTGGTACCTTAGATCAAAACAAGTTGGTTGGTGAGTTTTTTTAAAATCTTACTTTTTTGTGAATTTTTGTACATGTATATTGTACTAAATAATGTGTTTTACCTTTGCTATAGATATCATTGGCCAACTGGTGAATGTTGGGGAAATCCAAATCGTGGATGTCAAAGGCAAGCCTACCAAGAAGATTGATTTCCAACTAAGAGACACTGAGTAAGTGTTTTATATAATATCTATAATAAGTCATTCTTTGGGAGTTTATTTTGATCATATTTACTTTTGATTTTGAATTTCTATTTTTAGCGATAACCGTCTACCATGTTCACTCTGGGGAAGATTTGCTGATCAAATTAGCAAAGTGTCAAAAGATTCTATTGGGGGACAGGTCATTTGTTTGATCCGGTGGGCTAAGTTGTGCCATTACAAAGGTATTGCATGACATATTTGACGGATAACTCCATATATTACGTAAAATATTGTTACTGATTGAAAACCATTCTGTTTTTCAGAAATCAGAAGTATTTCAAACTCTTTTGATGCTTCTGACCTTTTGATCAACCCTGTCTTGACAGAGGTGGATGATTTTAGGCAAATGTGAGTGTACTATTTTCATCTAACTGTCTCTTTATATAGCTAAATATAAATTACGAAAACTAACTAATTCTGCGTTTCTCAGGCTTCCTTCTGATGGACTTGCATTGACAATAATGGAACCTAAACCTAGATTCCAGCCTCTCCAGGTGCGTGAAGAGAGATCCAAACAATTCCCAAGGAAGACTATTGCTGAGCTAAAGGCCTCTCTCGAGGTATCTGTATCACAGATTTAATATTTGTTGTCTTTTATTATTTTAATCTTAATTAGCTAATTTAGCTGACTCCTTCATCTCTTCTAAGGTTGAGAAGGTCAAGCTCATCTGTACCATTTTGTCAATTGACTTGGACTGGTCCTGGTATTATTTTGCCCACATCAAATGTAACAGAAAAGTTCTCAAAAGCAATAAACTTCTTAGCTCTGGTGCCAAGAAGATAATTTGGAGGTGTGACAAATGTAATACAAACGTCTCCTCTGTTGAAGCAAGGTAATTGTTGCTATCCTATTTGGTATCTGCCTTTACTTTTATCATATTCTACCAAAGTTTTTTATTTATATTGAATATAATTCTTAATTGCATAGGTACTGGCTGCATCTAGACGTTATGGATAACACAGGGGAGAGCAAACTTATGTTGTTTGATAGTTTTGTTGAACAAATCATAGGTATTCCAGCTTGTGATCTCGTGGATCCCACAACTGAAGAGGTATTTTCTAATTGTATTCATTACATTTCGTTTTATTTACTTTTAGCTAAATATATGATACCCTTCCTGTATACTATTAAATACAGCTTGATGATCCCCTGCCACTCCCTGATGTTGTGAAAAACATCATTGGTAAAACATACCAGTTTGCTCTTTCTGTTGAGCAAGATAACATCTCAAGAGGAAATGATGAATTCAAAGTTTCTGAGGTTTTAACAAGTCAAAACCTTAATCACCCTGCCCTTGAACCTGAAGTTGATTATCCTGTTGATCTTTCGTCCATGAGTTCCAGTGACCAGGTAATACATTTTCCTAATTTCAGTGTGATTTATATGATGTGATAATCTTTGTTTTTCCTTACTCGCCTAATGAAAAATTCAAAATGTTTTTAGGTTTTGATGCTGACTAATAGTTCTCATAAGGATGACACTACTAATACTTCACTGTCTACACCATCATCAAAGAGAAAAGAAGATACTTCGGATGGATCTGATCAAAACTCCACAAGCAAGAAACAATGCACTGGAATACAATCTGATGTCAAAGACGATGGTGTCATTGATTTAGACACTCCGGAGAAAAATGATCAGTCTACTGATGTTAAAGTCCAAGGTGTCATTGCTGTAGATGATTCGAAGGAACATGATCAGCCTAACTTCATACACAAACTTGATGAGGCAGGTCAAGAAGCCATCAACAAAGTAAGTGAAGCAGAACAGAAGAAAGTTCTTTTGAAGAAGATTAAGATTGAGAAGCTCGAAGGCCAGAAGGGAGCAAAGTGAGTTGAGTGAAGACTCATCAATCTAAAATAATGTTGATCTCATGGATTGTTTTTTTTTTGTTGTTCTATTAGGTTTCTTTCTTACATTTCTATCTTATTTTTTATGTTCTGTTTTTCCAAAAACAAATTTAGCAAACATTTTTTCCTTAGTTTCAATTTCTGTCTACGAGTTTTATTTCAGAAGGTTTATCATTGTTGTGTTACTGATTTGATTATTTGTTCTATCCTCCTAACAATAACGATTCCAGAACCACTATTTAAGCCAAAGCTTATAATAGAACTCTTTAGTATGGCCTAATTTCATATGTTGATATCAAATTGGATCGTGGAGGAGAGACCAAGCCATAATCATATGCTTTCTCCGGTATATCTAACAAAAGACAAATCTTATTTATTCTACTTTAGAAACTATCCATAATCCTAAAACCATTATAACCCGAATTAAAGTATAGGATGATAACTTTAACGAGACTTACTTATTTTAATCGCTTTGTCCAGACTGATCTTTATCCACTTTTTTTAACTGCTTTAGCATAATCCTGCAAATAAATCAACAAACAGTTAATTAATATACAATATCAGTTGAATTAGTTGCATGTAAGTTTAGATTCTTCATAAATTTGATTATATAATTTTGTTATCCTAATAACAATAAAATATCTAAATTATATCCACAATCTAAAACAAGTTCTACAACTGCTTCCTAATCATTTATCTTGAATCCGGATACAATATTGAGTATCTTGAAGACCTAAATTTATGGAAACTGTGATTATATGCAATCATTCTTAATCATTATCTACCTCATATTTAAATAATCATAAATGAGATATATCAAACAAACACATCGAAACGATTCATATTTCCATATCTAATCCTAACTATCTTCTTTGAATCTGTTCACTCCTATTCGACTATATATACCTATATTTTCTTCTCATATCATCACAGAAACCATCCACTCCTCTGCATTCAATGCAAAGAAACAAACGTGTATATCCCATGGAGTTGGTTCACAGTGTATCTGATTTGCATGTACACTCGACAGCATGGAGGATTTATGTTAAGATTATGTGTATGTGGGAAGAGGATTTGGGTTCTGCTGGATCTGAAACAATCATGATGTTGGTAGATGAAAAGGTATCAAGCTTTTGCTTCACTATCTATTTAGTTTTATCTTGCAATAAATCTATTTTTATGTTTGTCATACAAGTACTTAAAATGTTTTGGTTCTGTAGGGTGGAAGAATCGATGCAAGGATTCCATCTGGGACATACCTTTGGAATTTTCGACCAGTACTGAAAGAAGGATTCTGGTTTCATCTGTCTGATTTCCAGGTTATCCAACCAGAGAACAGAATCAGATATTCACCATCTCTATTTGAAATCAGGTTTATCTCGGAAACAGGAATGTGGCCTGTGAAACAGAGATCATGGAGTAACTTCTTTGAGTTTGTTTTTCCTATTGAAGTCCAGTATGCTATGGAATCGAATAAAGAAATTGTGACTGGTAAAGATTTCTACAAATTTTTTTTATGTGGAATCCATATATTTTAGATTACTGATTATAGTTGGTTTTTATTGTTCATTTTTTGAGTTTAGATGCTATTGGTGTGATTGCTGGTGTCAATACTGATCGAAGATTTCCTTATGTGTGTGCTCGGGGAGGGTCAGACAATGAGTCAAGATTTGTGGCTTTTAAGATAAAGGACAATATGTAAGTTTTTCTCTTAATATGTTTTATGCTATATGTAACATCTCTTTTGTTTTATGATATTTTGAAAGCATATAAACATAATGCTATTCATGGAATATTATTCAGGGGTGGAATAATTGAGTGCATTGCTGTTGGTACGTGTTGTGATTTGTTTATGACCAAATGGTCTGCTAAGGTCGACTCGGTTACTTATAATTATGAACCAATCGTGGCTGTTCTTCGCAACTGGAGAATTACAGAGTTTGATGGTTAGTTCTAAAAATTCTTTGTTTCCTTCTGTTAATTAGACTATCTTATGTGTTTGAAATAGTTAATATTTCTAAATTATATATTTTACAATTGTTCTATAGGAAGAAATGTCTTGATGAGTGAATTTGGTTGTTCCCGTTTGTTTCTTGATCCAACTTTCTATGACTTGGATATTCCACAATACGTGTAAGTGTCATTTTTACTAATTATACAATTGACTATTAATGTTACAGGAGACACACTAATTTGGTCTTTTTTTCTTCCCAGTCGTAGCTTCACTGATGAAGATGAACATGAAGATGATGATGACTAAGAGAATCTGATGATGGAAGTTCCCTTCATGTTTTATTTTCATTGGTTTTATCTATTTAGGTTGTTATATTTAAATTTTCGGATTGATAATTTCTGGATTTAAGTTTCAAACAATGTTATCCTACATTTGCTATTAAGTTAATCTCATGAATTGCTCTATAACATTTAAATTTCATAACTCTAGATCATCTCCTTAACTCTTTATATTCTATTGTTTTGATGTGTTCTAAATTATTAAAATAAGAGCTACTAAACGACAAAGTATATAGGTTTCTTTTGATACAATAGCTCACTGCAAAAGCTTATCAAAACCAATCAAAAGCCTCTTGAAAAATATGGACACACAATCTATAGAATATATTATTAGCTACTATCGAAATGATTTGTATTCACCTATACATATAATCCTATAGGATACTTCATTTGGGAAATAAAACTAATAAATACAAATCATTTAAAACAATAGTCATCATTCAAAACCGGATTTTTGGTTTTGATATACCCAATGTCTATCATTTCTACCTGACATAAAACGTAAACAAAACACTTGAGTAGAATTTTGAAAGGCATTTTATACTTATTAGTATTTGTTTAAGTTATCAGAATCCAAACTATCAAATCTTTTAAACAACTTATATTTAGTTTGTTTGCTCTCTAATTCTCTTCTCTTCCTTTAACAAGCCAACCGTGAAGTAAAACAAAATCTAAATGTCAAACTCTTCCTATCCCATGAATTTTGTTTCTGATTTGAACAACGAGAGAATGAACTGGAAGGTTCATTTAAAGATCTTGAGTATTTGGAATGTTCATTCCACACCAAATTCGAGTATGGTTACAAGCATGATTTTGGTTGATGAGAAGGTATGTGTTACCTATTACTTATAGTTTCGTTTTAGTTTTATTTGTTTTATCACAGACTTAGTTGTGGACATCTTATAATATCACAACTCATATAAAATCTCTTATGTAGGCAAACAGAATCGATGCTGTAATCCCAAATGGTCTATACAGACACAATTTCAAAAAGAATCTCAAAGAAGGTGAATGGTACTTCATGTCTGATTTTAACGTTGTTCCCCAAAATCCCATTTCTAGATACTCTTGGCACCCTTTCATGATTCAATGTAAGTGGGAAACAAAAATGGTTCACATAACTCCTAGATCAATCAACAATTACATGGATTTCATTGATTATGATGAAATCAAATATGCTGGAACACAAGAAAAGGAGCATGTAACTGGTAAGATCTATATACATAATTTAGCTATATTGTCAAGAGCCATTAATCTGAAATCTATATGTTTTCCTGTGTAGATGCTATTGGTTTGATAACAAGTGTGTCTCCCATTCGAACAGTGCCTTTTGTCGGTGGTATAGGACAAATCGATTATGAAGCAAGACATGTGATGTTCAAGATTAAGGACAATGAGTAAGTTTTGCATTTTGGTTTATTATGTTTAGTGTTACATGATAATTTTAGCAAACTAGATTGTATTAATCTGAATAATCTCTATGTTATTTATATTTATAGTGGCAAAAAGATGATATGTGTTGCTGTTGGAGAGTCTTGTGAGCAGTTTGTTAACAAATTGTCTACACGTTTAAGTTCTCCTAGATACAACAATGATCCAATCGTGGCTGTTATGCGATTCTGGAGGATCTCTGAAATAAATGGTGCTTAACTATAGTGAATTACATTATTTCTATTAATTTGATCAAAATCTATATATGCATATTTATTTAATCTAAAACTCTCTTTGGTTATTCCTCTATAGGGTCACCTTGCTTAATGAGTGTAGCTGGCTGTTCAAGGGTTTTTATTGATGAACAATTTCCAGATTTCGATATCTACAGATACATGTAATTTCATACTTTATGGTTTTCTCATATTTTAATTAGCATGAGATTAAACTAACTAATATTTCCTCTTTGCTTTTTATAATTTAGCCGATCATTTGCAATCGCCGAGGTAAATGATGATCAGGTGGAGGAAGTGGATTCTAACTAAGACAAAGCTAAGAGGATAAAATTGAATCATATGTTTTATCAGTTTGTACTTTGATATATTCCTGTTATCTCTTTTTGTTTTTTTGTTATTTGACTATCTCTAAATTTTAAGATTCCCAGAGACTTTACTATATGTTTAAATGTACTTTGCCAAAAGTTATTTGCATTGTTATGAACTTTTATCATTCGTGAATATGATGGACCTTTAATGTCAGTACCTTACAATTTATATAAGTTACTGAATAGTTTTTTTGTTGTTAAGCAAATAATCTTTCTCTTATAATCTGCTATGAACTATATTGTTCATGGAAATGCTAAAAAAACATCTCCCCTAATGCAAAGATTTTAAAAAGTTGTAGCATTGTGATTCTATATATTCTATATTGAATGTATTATTTAGTTTCGTAAACCCCCCTCCCCCCAGTCTTACAAGCTTTAAGCTTATTTGATATTAACTATAGTCCAAAGTATTCAAAAAAGCTGCATTTTATCATAAAATTAAAGTTTCTTTCTTAGATGTCATAGAAACACAGTAGCTTTGAAAACCAAAAAAGCAATCAGGTGCAATGGTCAAGTTTTGCAAATTGGTTGTCACATATAAAGTTTTTGTTTTCTCTACTTTAGTAATATATGAAAATGATTATTCTGGTTTTTCTAAATTGTTTCTATTGGTCATGCTATAGGTTTGGCCTTTTCTAGATGTGTATAAATACATATATTTATTTCTACATGTATCACACTCAAGTTCTCCCAAGAGTTGGCACAAACAAAAAATCATCAACTTTCATCCTTTTCAGCCGATTACTCTAATCTTTTCCAAATGAATAATTTTTTAACTGATTTAACTCTTGAGAAGAAGGAATGGTTTGTAGTTGTTAAGATCTTGAGCATTTGGAATCATCCTCCCAAGCATCCCAATGATCACACTACCATGATTTTGGTGGATAACAAGGTATGTGTTATTTTCTCCTTTTTATATCATTTGTTCTATAGATTTATTATATATGATGAGGGAGACAAATCTTTTTAACGTTTTATATTTCAGGGTACCAGAATTGATGCTGTGGTTCCTCCAGATTCATACAAAAGGGATTTTCCTAGAAATCTCAAAGAAGGAGAGTGGTACTTTCTTTGGGATTTTGATGTGATCCCACCTTCATTGTGTGAAAGGAACTCTAATCATCCTTACCAACTTAGATTTAATAAGAACACAACTATGGATCACTACAAACAGAAATACACTTCCGAATTCCTGCAGTGTCTTGCTTTTCCAAGGATCAATAATGCATCAGAAGAAGATAAGCAATTCGTTGTTGGTAATATTCTGGATTAGAGTTCCAAATTTCGGGGATTATTTTTTTTTTACTCTTATAGCCTAATTTTTGACTTATTCCCATTTTAGATGTAGTTGGAGTGGTTAGGAGTGTCTCTCCTATTGGAAGACTACTTGAAGGAGGCAGTGATTTGGATTCAAGCTATGTTACTTTCAAATTAAAGGACCTTGCGTAAGTTTTATTGGAAAATCAATATAGTCTGAGAATCTATATGAGTTGTATTAGTTAACAGATTTTCAAAACTGTCATTATATTTTTATTATGTATCATTACATGTAGTGGCCATTCCATTAATTGTGTTGCAAAAGGAAGTTTCTGTGAAGAATTTGTTAGGAAGTATTCTAGAAGAATAAGTGATGTGAATTATCACAATCAACCAATCATGGTTGTTCTGCGTTTTTGGAGGATATCAGAGTTTGGAGGTGATGTTCTCCAAACAAATTTTAAGATTCGTAATCCATATTTGACTGTTTATATAGCCAACAAATTTCAGTACATACTGATTATGGATTTTTTTTTTGTGTTTTTAGGTAAACCTTGCTTGATTACGAAAGGAGGTTGTCCAAGAATGTTCATCGATGAAAATTTCGCTGACATCAACAGAGACTGCTACATGTATTTCCACAATCTATATGAAATTTAAATTGGTTTATTTATACATAAGTTTTTATATTCTTATGTTTGTTATATTTATTTTCGCAGCTGCTTTTTCACTGCTGGAAATAAAGAAACAGCATCCTCAGATAATGACAATGTTTCTGATGAAGAGGGTGATTCTAACTAAGATTTGCATCTGTGTGGATGACATCAAGAAAATTCCTCCTATGTTCTGTTCTATCTTGGACTTCCTTTAATGCTTTGTTTTGTTAACTTTTTAGCAATGTGCTATTCCTGTATCTGTAAAATTAGACTCTTATGTTCAGTTGTTTTTTATTTTGCTTATCTGTGTTTTACTTTTATTTTGCTTAATTCCTAAGCTTTCTGTGAAAAAGCATTGCTTAAATCGATTATTAGCACAAGCTATGGAATATCCTTTTTTATGTTAATTATGTTTTTAAATTTCAGAGAACAGAAAGAACTTTTTATATTGAGCAAAATATACTATAAGCTGAGCATTCTGAATGACACTAACCTGAATAATAGGTTGATGATCCGAGATCCTTGCTCCCTATTGTTTGATATTCTTATCATAATATATCCTGTCAATCATAAAAGTATATAATTTAGTTAGTAACTACTTCTAAAAAATTTTAACTTACTCAACTATTTTAAAAGTTAGTGAGAATATCTACAAATAGTACAGAAAATTAAAAATATTATGTACATGGTACTTTATGATATAAAAACTATCTACCATGGCATATACATCACATGAAAACTTAAATCCTAATCCAACAAAGCCTATTTTTAAATTGTAAATGCATAAGCTTTAATTTCCAGTCAAATTATCTGATTGTCAACATACTGGTCTGAATCCTATAGGAAATGAACAGCCAATAAATTTCCTGTTGACTCATGCAATTATTTTCGTTAATCCCCCAATCAGTCTTACCAGATTTAATTGTTTTACATGACAACCAAACAGGAAATACCAAAATACCAATAACTAATAGATTTTCTGATATTTATTTCATTTGGTTGGTATTTGTGTTGGATGTGAAATAGGCCACTTGCTTTGTTTTCTTATTCACGGGTTTTGTCTATTAGCGTCACTCTTACAACATTTAAAGGTATCTGAATAAGTAAACACAAAATAGGCACGAAAACCATTAAAAGCTGTTATATCTGCTCAAAATGCAAGCTTCTTAGATGTAAAACAGAGCCATGAATCTTGAAAAAGCAAAAAGCTGTTATATCAGTCAATATATCAATCATATGCTATGGTCATGTTTTACAACTGGTTTTTACATAGTGATATATTATTTGTTATACTTTACTTTTATTAAAACATAATTCTGTTTACTTTTATTTAGTAAATTGGACACAATGCTATAGGTTTTCACTCCATTCATAACCTTTATATAAATACATCTATACTTCAGTATAATATCACACTCAAGTCGCTCATTTCTTAGAAACAAAAACACACCAGTTAGAGAGGTTTTCATCCTAATCTACTTCGTTGATCATGGCAGTTCTTTTATCTGATTTAAATCGAAGGAAGAAGAAATGGCTGGTTTTTGTTAAGGTCTTAAGCATATGGAATAATCCTCCTAAACATCCTAATGATCAGACAACTATGATTCTTGTGGATGAAACGGTATATATTGTTTTCTCTTTGCGCTAATAATGTTTTATATTTTCTCTTTGTGCTGATAATGATAAAGGAAACTTAACTTATTATCATTTTCTTTATAAGGGACAAAGAATTGATGCTACGGTTCCTACAATTGCAATCAAAAGGAACTTCCCTAGAGAGCTCAGAGAAGGACAGTGGTACCTTTTGTCGGAATTTGATGTGATTCCACCTTCATTGCCCGAAAGAAACTCTGATCATTTTTACCAGATTAGCTGTAATAGGAACACAGAGGTGGATCCTGTCAGACCAAAATCACAATCCGATTTTTTTAATTGTGTGGATTTTTTCAGTATCAATAATGCATCAGAAGAAGACAAACAATATGTTGTTGGTAAGTTTCTGTGTTATATTGGCAACCATTTTTAGTAAAATGTAATAGATCATCTATATACTAATGATTGATTCTTGCTATGTTTAGATGTATGTGGAGTGGTTGTCAGTGTATCTCCTGTTGGAAGACTTCTGGAAGGTGGAAGTGACATGGATTCAAGATATGTTACTTTCACACTGAAGGATACTATGTAAGTACAGTATTACAATGCTATTACGTGCTTTTAAAAATATGTATGTATTAGTTAACAGTCTTATTACCTATGAGCATCTGATTATACATTCTATCATTACATGTAGTGGCCATTACTTGAATTGTGTGGCAAAAGGAAATTTCTGTGAAGAATTTGTAAGGAAGTATTCTAGAAGAATAAGTGATGTGGATTATCACAATGAACCAATCATGATTGTTCTGCGCTTTTGGAGGATTTCACTTTTTCAAGGTGATTTTTTACAACTATTTGTAAACGTCATTATCTACATGTGACAGTTTAGATAGCTAAGCATTTGGTTATGGAACTGATTTTTGAATTTCTCTGTTTTATAGGTAAACCTTGCTTGATTACTGGTGTAGGTTGTCCAAGAATTTTCTTTGATCCAAATTTCCATGACATCAACAGACAGAAATTCATGTATTTCCTTCGCTATAATAGATTCAACTTACCTAAACTCATACTCAAATTGTTTGATTCTGATTTTAGTTGTAGTTTTGATTCACAGGAAGTGTTACACTCAGGGAAATGGTGAATTCACACCCTCAGATGATGACGATGTTTTTATGGAAGAAGTTGATTCAAACTAATACATCACTTATGAGTGGATTGTTTTCTCAATATTCCCCCTATGTTTTATTTTATCTTGCTTTTCATTTATGTATGCTTTGTAAAACTTAATATAAAATGTGCTATTAGCACAAGCTATGGAATAATATATTTCCCTTTTTGTTAATTATGTTTATGGATTTCAGAGAACGTTAGACAATATATTATATCCATCAACATGGACTATAAGCGGATCATTCTGAATGATACTGACCTGAATAATAAGCCCTTGATGCTCCGAGATTATTGCTTCCTGTTGTTTGATCTTCTCATTTAGTATATCCTGTCAATCATGATAGTATCGAATTTAGTTACTAATTACTAATAAAGAATCTTAAATTACTCAATTTTTTTTAAAGATAGTTTCAGATATTGAATATATCGCCAGATCTAACAAGATTTTATTCTCATATCTGGTACAATAGTATTTATCCAAGCTTTAGTCATTCTCCAACTCAGATTCATAAATTCTTATACAGTAAAAAAAACTCGCTTTGTTATAGTCTTAGACTACGGAACACATTCAAGAGTTTGATAAGGTAAAACAGAGCATAGAAGTTATACTATCAAACATCTACAACTATATTCCTACAAATTTTGTATATCCTCACATCTGTGTTACAATCTATCCTATTTTTCTCAGGAAGTCACATTTTCATGAGGAAGAAGAAAGAAGCAAGGGGTCAAATTGATCCTCATGTCACTCAAACTCCTGTTAGAATAAGACCAACATCTACTGTAATCGATGAAAACAATGTTCCAGGTTCAGGAGAAAGTAATGTCAGCAATAATGTTGCAGTCAATTCAGTTTTTAGAAGAGTTTTAGGAGACATATCGAACTCACCACGCAATACCTCTGGACACTCACCATCTGAACAAAGAACACCGTTGTCGTCCACTGCAATAGACAATTTAAATCAGAGAAGCACTCCTTATCATAACCGTAATGCAAAGAGGCCAAGAAATATCTCACCTATTTCATGTAAGTAATAAAATTGCTGTGGGAATTATGTTCAGAACCTATTTCATTTATTTGACATAATATTGAGAGCTAATTCTATAAACAGTATTTAATGAGTCAGGTACTAAATCCAATACTTCCCAGATTACCTCAACTCAAATCAATGATTCTCCTCTCTTGAGTCAATCTTCTTATACGCATAATGATGATTATGCTCCTGCATCTTCTGCCAAAAAAAGAACCAAAGGAAATTTATCAGGTTATACATCATTATTAGTACTAAATCAAATTATTTTTTTGTGGATGATGATGGCTTAGGAGATACATCTTAATATCTATGACTAATACATATAGGGATTTATCATTTGGTATTTGTCTACAGGTACTACAAGAGGATCCGGATCATCAATACAAAACAATCAGTTTTATGATGATCTCCTTCACTCTCATCAGAGTTATGTAGAAGATAATGGTAACAGTTCAGATACAGATGAAGATGCTGATTTTTCAAATTATGAAGCTTCCTCACAAGGTAAGACCTTTATCATGTTTTAAAAATCTTATAAAGAATCATATTTTTAAAATTTGTTTCAAATATTAACAGGAGACTATGAAGACAACAACCAAGAAGATTTCTTTTTTAGTAGTGAAGAAGATTATTCATCAAATGCATCCTCAGATGAAGATGACCGTGTTGACGACGTTTCCCAAATCACAGATGACATTATTTATCAAGCTAAAGATAAATTTGACATACTTACTATGTTTGAAAAGGCTTTTGGAAAACCAAGTCCTTTACCTACTAATCGTCAGAACAGAAAGAGTGGTACAATATACATATTAACTCAATCATGAGACTCAATTTTAAAAATTCAGTACAATACTATAACCTATATTAATTTTTTGGTTTTTTCCAGCTTATGTCGATGAAGGTGATCCAGTTCATAGTTGTGACAAATGTGGTGCTATTTTTTGGTATGGGGAACGCGTAAACAAGAGGAGGAATACCAACAATCCTAAATTTTCATTGTGCTGTATGCAAGGTCAAATCGTATTACCATCCTTTAAGGATTCACCTGAATTATTATGGCATTTGCTTACCAGTAATGATGAACTCTCAAGACATTTTAGAGAAAACATCAGACCTTACAACATGATGTTCTCATTTACATCTATTGGAGGTAAAATAGATCATTGTCTTACTAAGGGTCGTGGGCCGAAGATGTTTGCAATTCAAGGTGAAAACTACCATCTCATAGGTGCTCTTAAGCCTAAAGCTGGTGACTATCCAAAGTTTCAACAGCTTTATATTGTAGATACTGAAAACGAGGTTGACAACAGATACAACATAATGAGGTATTTTCTCTCTTACTCACTCTTCTTTATAAGCTAATTTACATTAGTTTATCACTAATATATCTGATAACCCAAACTATGTTTATTTAGTAAAGGGAAGGAATCTGAAAACGACCAGGGAAAGAACAGGTTCAAAAAGGAAATCATCGACAGTATCATCAAGCTTTTAGATCAAGTCAATCCTCATGTTCAGGCGTTTAGAACTGCAAGAGACAGATTTAATACAAACGCAGAAGAGCCATTTCATATGAGAATTATTGCCGCTCACACCGGTGATGGCAGGAATTATAATATGCCATCAGCATCTGAAGTTGCTGCCTTAATTCCAGGGGATTTTGATGAAAATATGGATAAACGTGATATTGTTTTGCAGAAAACTTCTGGGAAGTTAAAAAGAATAAGTGAACTGCATAAATCGTACCTTGCTCTACAATATCCTCTGTTATTCGCACGCGGGGAAAATGGTTATACTCTTGGTATCAAGAAAGCTAAAACAAATGGCCGTGGCAGTGACAAGGAACAGAAAGATGTAAGTATGAGACAGTGGTTTGCATTCCGTCTTCAAGAAAGGAAACATGAGAAACATGTCTTACTTCGTTCCAAGCGCTTGCTTCAGCAGTTCATTGTTGATGCTTACACTATGATTGAGTCAAACAGGCTGAGATATATTAAGAAGAATCAACCAAAGTTTCGGAGTTCTAACTTAGAATCTATTCAGAATGCGTCTAATGCTGGAAACAATGATTTGGAAAATCAAGGTAAAGAATTTAGGATTCCAGCTTCTTTTACAGGGGGACCACGGTACATGACCAACAATTATTTGGATGCAATGGCTATTTGCAAACACTTTGGATTTCCAGATCTTTTCATAACATTTACTTGCAATTCAAAGTGGCCTGAAATAGTTAGATTCTGTAAAGAGAGGAATTTGAAGCCTGACGATAGACCAGACATCATTTCTAGGATATTCAAGATGAAGTTAGATAACCTAATGTATGATCTAACTACCAAGAAGCTACTTGGGAAGACAGTTTCAGGTATTTATTATTTGAATCTGTTATCTAAATTATTAGCACCTGTCATTTATATATCCTAAATGTTTAATGATTTATATGTTTTGTTTTTTTTTTCCCAGCAATGTACACAATTGAGTTCCAGAAAAGAGGCCTTCCACATGCGCACATATTGTTGTTCATGCATGCCACCAGTAAGTTTGCTACAGCAGAAGACATTGATAAAGTAATATCTGCTGAAATTCCAGATAAGGTGAAAAAACGAGAACTGTATGAGGTGGTTAAAGACTGTATGATTCATGGGCCATGTGGTGCTGGTTTTCCTAATTCACCATGTATGGTTAATGGTAAATGCTCTAAGTTTTTTCCAAAAAAGATTACCAACAATACTAGGGTTGATGATGATGGGTTTCCAGTTTATAGAAGACGTAACACTGGTATTTACATTGAGAAGAATGGTTTTCAGTGCGATAATCGTTACGTGATCCCATATAACGAGAAGCTATCCCTTCGTTATAATGCGCACATTAACGTTGAGTGGTGCAACCAATCAGGGTCAATAAAGTATCTGTTTAAGTATGTTCATAAAGGTCATGACCGTGTCACATTTGTTGTTGAGCCACGTGACAAGGATACTGCAAATGCTGATTCTAATCCAAACCCGGGAAAGACTACTGGTACCAAGGGAAAGGACGAAGTTCAAGATTATTTTGATTGCAGGTTATTTCATTATTATCGTCATTACTTTAGAAGCTATATATATCATTCAGGCAACTATATGGATTGTAACTTGATTTGTTGTATATTGTTTACAGGTACGTATCTGCTTGCGAAGCTATGTGGAGAATTTTCAAATTTCCTATACACCATCGGACTACACCAGTTGTTAAACTTTTCTTCCATGAAGAAGGAAAACAGCCAATTTATTACAAGAAAGGTGAAACAACAGAGAGTGTTATGACTCGATTAAGTACTGAAGCAACACAGTTTTTGGCGTGGTTTCAGCTTAACAAGAAGATTCCAAATCCAATAGTCAATTCAAATCGGAAAAAAAAAACCAAAGAAAGCTCCGGATCCAACAAACCTTTTATACGAAGAAATTCCAAATATGTTCACTTGGAATGGCAAAGAGAAAAAATTCTCACCAAGAGAAAGGGGATTTGCTATTGGAAGAATTAACTTTGTTCCACGTGCAATAGAGGATGCTTATTATTTGAGAATACTCTTAAACATCTGCAGAGGTGTTACATGTTATAATGATCTCAAAACTGTGAAAGGTGTTGTTCACGAAACCTTCAGGGATGCAGTTTTCGCTTTAGGTTTGCTAGATGATGACAAGGAGTACATAAAGGGTATTAAAGATGCCAATTTTTGGTGCTCTGCAAAATATGTTCGTAGGCTATTTGTCATCATGCTTCTTTCAGACAGCTTAAGCAAACCAGAGATGGTGTGGGAGACAACCTGGAAGATTCTATCAGAGGATATAGAGCGCAGAAAAAGAAATGAATGGAAACGACCAGGTCTCTCTCTTATATCATTTTTTTTTTATTGTTGTGCGAGTGAATTGGATATCAAGTTCCTTTTAAACCGTGAATTATTGGTATGATGGATTTGATATCTATTTATAATTTAACTCATTGTTATGTTTTTATTAAATTTGCAGATCTTATTCTAAGTGATGAGGAAAAAAAGGAATTTTGTTTACAAGATATAGCCAGGCTGCTAACCAAAAATGGAACTTCACTTACAAGATGGAGACAGATGCCACAAGTTTCTTCGGAAGATGTACAAAAATGCAACCATTTTTTGTTGGATGAACGCAAGTACAACCGTGAATATTTGCAAGAAAAGCATGCAGAATGGTTGTCTAAGGTGACTTCAGAGCAAAAGAAGATATATGATGAGATAATGGATGCTGTGAATCATGACAAAGGCGGAGTGTTTTTTGTTTACGGTTTTGGAGGTACTGGGAAAACTTTTCTCTGGAAGTTACTCTCTGCTGCTATTAGATCAAAAGGAGACATATCTTTAAACGTCGCATCTAGCGGCATTGCTGCTCTGCTATTAGATGGCGGTCGAACTGCACACTCAAGGTTTGGAATTCCTTTAAATCCTAATGAGTCGTCTACATGTAACATTTCACGTGGAACAGATCTTGCTGAGTTAGTTACAGAGGCTAAACTTATTATTTGGGATGAAGCTCCAATGATGAGCAAGCATTGCTTTGAGTCTTTGGATAGAACTTTGAGAGATATTATGAATAATCCAGATGACAAGCCTTTTGGTGGGAAGGTTATCGTTTTTGGAGGTGATTTCAGACAGGTATTACCAGTGATCAATGGTGCTGGTAGGGAGGAAATCGTTTTTGCTGCATTAAATTCATCTTATATATGGGAGCATTGCAAAGTTTTGGAGCTAACAAAAAACATGAGACTTCTCGCAAACATTAGTGAGCATGAAAAGCGCAATATCGAGGAATTTTCAAAGTGGATATTAGATGTTGGGGATGGTAAAATTGCTCAGCCTAATGATGGAATTGCTCAGATTGATATCCCAGAAGAGTTTCTCATTACTCAGGATCATGATCCGGTCCAATCAATTATACAGGCTGTTTATGGAAATAATTTTATGGACGAGAATGATCCTAAGTTCTTTCAAGGAAGAGCTATTCTTTGTCCTACTAATGAAGATGTGAACTCCATAAATGAGCATATGTTGAACATGGTGAATGGTAACTACTTCCATCAACATCTGTTAGTATTTTTTAAGTTAGCTAATTTAATTTCAAATCAGCTTTATTAGTTATTTACAATTGTTTTCCTTTTGTCTGTAGGTGAAGAAAGAATCTACCTAAGCTCTGACAGTATAGACCCAGCTGATACAAGTTCTACAAATAATGAAGCTTATTCTCCTGATTTTCTAAACAGTATCAGAGTTTCTGGATTGCCTAACCATTGTTTGCGCCTTAAAATTGGTTGTCCAGTCATGTTGATCAGAAACATGGATCCTAACAAAGGTTTATGCAATGGGACAAGACTACAGATCACTCAAATGGCAGATACAGTTATCGAAGCTAGAGTTATTACAGGTAATAAAGTTGGTAAGACTGTTCTTATTCCTAGGATGCTCATAACACCATCAGATGCAAGACTGCCTTTCAAAATGAGGCGTAGGCAATTTCCCCTATCTGTAGCTTTTGCCATGACCATAAACAAGAGTCAAGGACAGACACTAGACAATGTTGGACTTTATTTGCCTAGGCCGGTTTTTTCACATGGGCAACTTTATGTGGCAATATCTAGAGTGACGTCAAAATCAGGTTTGAAGATTCTTATCACCGACAAGAAAGGTAAACCGCAAACCAAAACAATGAATGTTGTTTTTAAAGAAGTCTTCCAAAACCTTCGTTAAGCCAGTACTGAAAAAGAGAAGATTTGATAGCTTTTCATTCAGGTAACTTTCACCACTAATTATAACTTATTTCTGTATTTTAGTTAGTCTAATGTTTTTTTGAAGATTACAACTAACTAATTATGCATTTAGGAATTAAATTTTATTATTTCTGTCATTTGCAGGTTTTGAACATTATAGCAGTGCTTAAACGATAACACAGAAGATGCAGTCATTAATCTTTTCTTGAATAAGAGTTGGAAACAAACTCATTTCAAATTTCTTTAATTCTTTAGATTTCGATTGAAACTCTGATGTTATATAAACTTTCCTATAACTCTGCTTAATTTTTAAATTCATTGAACATTTCTTTCATTATTAATCAAATCCATCAAATCAACATGTTTTGAAAGACTTAATGAGTTATGTTTCTAAAGCTTTATGAGTTAGGTAGCAGTACTAACCTTAATAGTCTGTTTCAACAGAGTTCATTGCATGCCGTCTCATAATTTTTGGTTAGATTGTCTTCATTAGATTGATTTACTCTTTCTCCATGTACATGTCTGTACCAAAAACCTGCACATAATTTCATATTCAGATTAGAGATGTACTTTATCAAGCTTGATCCTTAATTCATATCAATTGTTGAATCTGAAAAAAGTTAAGATTGCAAAGCATATGGTTTACAATCTATATTTGAACCAATGTGAAAACACAGTCATAAGATTAGATCCAATCAAGATTTTCCATATTGAATTATATTATTTTGAATCCACGATTTACAAATTGTCTCTATAATTTGTTGCATTCCTTACAACATAACGATTCAATCACTAATCAATTGAAGAACAATATTCATCGATTTTTTATAATAGATACGATTAAACCTGAGAATTCGATGTACCTTTAAGACGAATTTCTAATTCCACTGATCTGGAACATAATCGATGAACTTTAGTTCTTGATTTCTTCAATTCCGAAATTGATTGAGAGGAATGAAATTGCATGCATTTATCAATCTGGGAAGCTCAATTAAGAAGAATTAGAAATCAAAAGCGTCGAAAGATGTTTATTACAAGGATGCCGACTTCTCTCCGTTATCAGAAATCGGAAACGAAGCAGTAGCGGTCGTTTGCTTTGCTGTCCTTTTTTTTTTTTTCGAAAACATTTTTTTTTTTATTTTTTTTAATCATTTATGCTTATTCAAACAAAATCCAAGATGATTACATAAAGATTGGGCCTATTTTTTATTTTGAAACTTTAATATTGAACCCAACATGGCCCAATTTTATATATATATATATATATCTCAACATTTTTTTTATACATTACAATATTATCTAATCTTTTATTAAGAAAACATTTTTCCCACATAAATAAATATAATACAACATTTAATCCTATTCACAAATAAAATTACACATGCTTTGACATAAATTTTTTAAATTTGATTCTATTATATTATTTGCTTTTTAATACATCTTTATAATTTAATTTTATTAAAAAAAAATTCACACCCGTGCTATAGCACGGGTTATGATCTAGTATACGCTTATACTTTCGGCGACAAAAAAAAAAAAAAAACAAAAAAAAAAAGAGAACCCTAGATCGAAAATCAAGAATGGAGAAAAAAACAAAAACAAATTTGGTGCCAGAGGAAGCATTGATGAAGATCTGGGCTCGATTTTCATTGAGAAGCATTGCTAGGTTCAGATCAGTCTGCAAAGAATGGAAATCGATGATTGATTCCAACGTCTTCCGAGATCTCTATGAGTCTCTCAACTCGTCCTCATCCTCCGTTTCGTGGTCGATCATGAGCACAAGGAACAAAACACTGTCGCTAGAAATCGTGGGACACCATGGATGCGAAAGATGGGGACTTACCGAGTCCTTAGGCTCTTTCATCACGCGCCACAATCCCAGTGAGACCACCACAGTGAGAAAAACTTGTATCTTGAGCTGCACGGATGGGTTGGTATTGCTTTACACCGAAACCATCGAAGGCGCACCCATGTATCATGTCGGAAACCCCTTGTTGCGACAATGGGTTCAGATCCCTCTTCCTCCACATCTCTCTGGTTATGATGTCGTGAGGTTACAAGAGAATCAATGTTTTAACGACAATGGACTTGTCACAAAGATGGAAAAGGGTATTGCCGTGGGTTACAAGGTTGTCTGGACTTTGGTTTCAGGTTTGGTATCTAATGAACTCACTTTTATGATATATTCATCTGAAACAGGATTGTGGATAACCAAAGAGGTTCGTTGTCTCCGTAGCTTGATCTGGACTAGACTAGCGCATTCCGTTCCTTTAAACGGGTTTCTTCACTGGCTTGCTACGATTGATAACTCCTCCATGGACGCGAACTATGTTGTAGCTTATGATTTCTATAATGGAGGTGATGAGTGTCCTATCATACCTTTTCCTGATATCCAACAATTTCAAGCGACTCGGCTTTTCAAGAGAACAATGACAACGTCTGCTGGATTCGTGGTGTATTGCAACGTTTACAGTGATAATAATGAAGGAGAACGTGCAATCAGGGTTTGGAGGCTGGTCTCTACAAATGAGCATCCTAATTCATGGCAACTCTTGTGGAAAGTCAATACCAAGGGTGGTGGTGTTGATTATTTACCTGTGGTGATGCATCCTTTGAACTCTGATATCATTTACTGTTGGAGTTGTAACAAGAACGCTCTGGTTTTGTTTAACTTGAGGGCACGCAAGTTTAGTTTTCACAAGGAGGAAAAGAAGAAGAACAAGTCTATGGATGGTTGCATCATGACATTTACCGGATGCAAGGAGTATATGGATTTGATCTATCCAAAGTTTGTCAATGATATGTACAGTGCTGCTCACAATCTCTTCTTTTCGCAGTACGTGCTCCCACGCTGGCTAAACCCGCTCCCGAAGCTTTCTCCTTGATTATTATTCGTTTTTTTTTAGTCATTTGCTTGTTTTCTTTCTTTATGATACAAGTATGTATTGAGAGAAACCCAACTCCCGCTTCCACAATAGCGTGATCAACTGTTTGCTCATTTGAACACTGCGTAAATGAGCCTTTTGATAGCATTATGAGCTTGTTTATACTTGAGAAAAAAAAAGGCACATAATAACGAGGGATGGCGATGAAGGAACATGGTGTGGGAGATGAGGGTAGCATCAAACAAATTAGAACTGAAGTCTTTACCGATAATGTAATGTAAGTTAGTCAGGATGATGAGTAGCACGCAGCTACAAGGGGGAACTTCTTCGTATCAATTGTATCTAATGTAATGTAAGTTACTCTTGTTCTTGTGTAACCCAAAATAAAGGAAAATCTTATTGACAGTTCGAAATTCAAAACTTTTTGCTAATTATGAAGGAGTTTTGAATTTCGAACTGTCAATAATATTTTGATATATTTTGTTCCATTACAGCTGATAAAAAAAATACTATATGTCTGAAATTCGCCGCTATGAAGGCCTTGATTGGGCCTTAAAAGAGAGCTATTTACAATGTTGTTTAAAGCCGTGAAAAAAACTATATATACACAGTAACGGATTTGTTATACAAAGAGAGCTAAGACGCCAACCTCTTTGTTTAGCTCGTCTGGTCTGTGAAGGCACAATAACTGCTAACATGTGACAAACCTCTTGTAGCTCGTCTGGTCTGCCAACGCACAATAAGTGCTAACCTGTGACAAGATCACTGAGAGCGAAACATAGAAAGAGAGAGAGATGATGAAGAAGCAGAGCTAAGACATGACAGTATCTCAAACTCAGTTTTAACTAACTAAGGAGAAAGGATAATAAATCTGTTATTGTGAATGACTATTAAACTAATCCTCACATGATCACATTCAAACACAGAAGAAAGAAGAACATTCTGAGACAGTTTACCAACTACTCTCACCTCGGTTTTTTCTGGTTTAGCTCTAGTACTCCGGGTTTAAGAACTACTTTCCATTGATAAGCTGTTGGGATCTATGTAGTCTTGATCAGTGGAATGGAAACATTTTCCCTTTTGGTTGTGTGGTGCCGCATCTCATCATCGCACGAAATTCCTCAAAGTTTATTTTTCCATCCTGTAACATAGTTCGTTACAAGGTTTCAAGAAGCGGTTTAATGTTTGAGATGTTGGATTATGTTAGAGAGTGTGACTTACATTGTTGGTATCAACTTCAGATATAACTTCTTTGATGCTAGCTTCATCTCCCATTCCATATTCCTTCATGGCACTTTCCAACTCATCCCTAGTTATGTGCCTGTTGTATTACCAAAAGCATTAACATCGGTGCCTCATAATAGTTACACACATTTGAATCTTAATCCTCTTGACAAAAGGAAAAGAAATGATTCATGGGGATAGATTCATAAACTGAAAATGTAAGAAACTTACCCGTTGTTGTCTTTATCAAAGTGTTGGAATGCTTTGTGTACATGCTCATCTCGATCTAATTTGTATCTATGCATTGTCGCAGAGATAAACTCATAGTAGTCAATTGTTCCATTACCATCCACATCAGCCTGAAAAGGTTCATCATGTGTTCCAAGCTGTCTTTTTAAAGAAATCAAGATGCTGAAGATAACTTACCGCTTCCACGAGTTGCTTAACTTCAGTTTCAGAGAGTCTATACCTAAGTCTACTTAGCCCAGTTTTGAGTTGTTCATACGTGATTGTCCCGCTTCTATTGGTATCCATATTCGCAAACATGGTTTTAAGACCTTTGATCTCCTCTTCTGATAGACTCTCCGCGCTAACCTGCAAACCAAACACACAAATTAGAACCCGAAGTTCAGGCACTGGTAGTTATAAGATGTTTCAATTGATTAGAGAACACAAAGAGATGGCAAGACTATAAGCGAGATGCATAATTAGTAATAAAGAAAGATGTAATTCATTATATTTTGAGCTACGTGATTACCTTTAGAGCTAGCTTCTTAAGCTTGTTCATTGCTCGGAATTGCTTCATGCGGGATAACACAGTGCTATCAATAGGTTTGTCCGGTGCTTCTCCCCCTTTGATCCAAGGATGTTCTATAAACCATAAGGATTGCTACATATTAGTAAAGCCTTAATCGGTAGACGACCATAAACTCAAAGACAAGAACCAGATAAGACTTCAAGATTCAAATGTCTTTTTCAGACCTAAACAATGGACTGACTATCTTGTTCTGGTGTCAAGCCTATAGAATGTATAATCAAGTCTTCTAAATATGGAATTTTTAATTTGATTTCTTTATACAAATTGGGAAAAACAAATACTGGTATTCACATTCTCTTACCAAGAACCTCTGCAGCAGTGATTCGTCTCTTTGGGTCTTCGGTTAGCATCTTCTTAACAAGATCTTTCGCGCTGTCAGATATAAAAGGCCATGGCTGGCTTACAAAATCAATTTCGCCTTTTAGAATCTCAACGAATATTCCTTTCTCATTGTCTACAAAACAACATATGATTACAGATCAAACCTTAAGAAGAAAAAAAAATCAAGAAGTTTTGTTAGCTTTAAGGTCTTTTACCAGCCCAAAAAGGAGGTACACCGCTGAGTAGGATGTATAAAATGACACCTGCACTCCAAATATCGATTTCTTTCCCGTAACTTCGCCTTAATACTTCAGGAGCAACGTAGTAAGTGCTCCCAACTAGATCCTGGTAAACTTTTCCTGTACGTTTTGGTTTCACAAACTTAGCATGAAGCATATAAACATAAAAATCATAATCAAAGAAAACGGCATATTTGAAAAAATCATAGATATCACAATCTGTACAATAATAAGACAACATAAACCCGATTCTATTATTAAAGAGTAGAGTCCCATCCCTATGCATTGGAACATAAGTCACCAATCTAGCTCATGATTAAAGCAAAACAAAATGCATATTTTCGATACTTAAGAGATTCGTGCAAGACAGTCATATAGAACCAAACATTAATAAACATACTTGGATCCAAAACCTATCAAACGCACTCAAATATCAATACACTAAAGAATACTGAATGATCAATCTCGAGCTCACTTTCTTCAACGAACACAGAACATCGGATTTCTTCATGCATAACAACATTCTATCCTTACTCGAGAACAAGAAGTTCTCGAGCATATGACATCACGATTCAAAGAACTACCAAACTCCTAAGATGAATTTCTATACTAAAGAGACTTTTGCAAGACAATCCTATAGATTCATAAGATTAACATACCAAATCAACCTAAGATGATTCTATCAAAGATCAACCTCTATAGCTCACCTTCTTCGATGAACGCGGACAACCCGAAATCGGTTACTTTAAGCATTGCATTCTCCTCTTCACTCGAGAACAAGAAATTCTCAGGCTTGAGATCTCGATGAATCACACCCTTCAAATGACAAATCTCAACAACATTCACAATTGACTTAATGATACCAGCAGCAGCTCTCTCAGAGTAATGACCTTTAGCTATAATCCTATCAAACAACTCACCACCAGCACACAACTCCATAACCAAATGAACAGATTGTCTATCTTCATAAGCACCTTTGATCTCAACAATGTTTGGTTGTCCAGACAAATGCTGCATTATCTGAATCTCTGTCTTCACATCTTCTTTATTATACTTATTATCTAGCTTCCTCTTGAGAATCGATTTACAAGCGTAATTGTTCCCAGTCCCAATCTCTTTACACATATACGTAATCCCAAATCTACCTCGACCTAATTCTTTCCCGAAGCTGTAAAATCTCCTGATGTCTTCCAATGGTTTACCTAATATCGTCTCTGGATCTCGAACTGAGATGGGTACCGATGGTGTTGGGATTTGAGGTTCACGATGCTCAGGGACTTGATTAACGACATGGGTTTGAACTGGATTGATCGGATTTGATCTTTCTCCGCCGTCGTTTTGAGTTGTCCGGTGTTTACTACTGAAGCAACCCATTAATAAAGGAGGAGACTTTCGTTCTTGGGTTGAAGAAATAGATGAGCTTGAAGGAATTTGACAAAGAGAAACCCAGATTTAAGATTTAGAAGTTCAGAAAACATTTGTTGTTGTATATGTTTTGACTGGAACTGAAATTGGAATTATCAGTCTCATCAATTTCTACGGTGTAATAGAGTTAATTACAAAATAGGCATTTGTCTTAGAGCATCTCCAAAGGGGGGTTTTCTTGGATTTTAGGTGGGTTCTCTGCTTTAAGTTGAATTAAAAATAAATCAAAACACATAATTATCAAGAGAGTCAGCTCTCTTGAAAGAGTTTTGGGAACCAGAGAGAGCTGCACACGTGTCATAAATTGATTGGCCGATGATTTTTGACAAAAAAACAAAAAAAACACACGTTGTGTCTGTCTCCTTCTTCGCAATTTTTTTCACGACTCTATCTTTGTCTCTGGCGATGCCGATCAAACCGGAGATTTCTCTGATTCCGCTGATTGGGAGTATTTTTAAGTGTGAAATTAAAAATCATCAGCCATATCACTTCTCTCGCCGTTCTTCGTACCCATCGCAAGCTCGGTCTCGCCACTAAGCTCATGACCGCCGCTCAGGCTGCTATGGAACAGGTTACTCAATCTTTAAATTTCATATTTGTTTGAATTCAATAAGCAGAATCACTGAATCAATATATAGATTCGTGTTGTATTATATGGATGATATGTTCTTCTTATAAACGAATTTGTGTGGTTTGAGTTATGTTGAAGATTGATATAATGATGTAAGTTAGGCGATTCTTACTGAAAGTTGAAAGTTTTTTATATCAATTTTTGGGATCTTATTCCGTTACTGAATTGTGGCAATTGCTTTTTCTTTTGATTGGAATTTGAAGCAACTCAAGCTCCGTAGACTGTATAAAGAATTTAAGTTTTGTCTCCGATTGTGTTATGCTTTGGACTGACGGAGACGATTAGTTTATGATTACCTGTGAAACTAGTACATAATAGCAGACCCTAAGGTTGATAGTTGTGATGGGCTTACTATTGAAGTCCGATACACCGGAGATATTAAGCCAGAGAAGAGAACGAAGGAGAGCTCAAATTTAGATCTAACAGAATCTTTTATTAACATGTAAAATGTTTGTTACAAAGCTTAACCAAAACTAAAGTATACTTAAGCTTATATATACATTTCTCATAATCATATTAAACCATTCATCAGATAACCGGAGTTAACCAATGAACCATTCAAACCATGTATCATAATACGCCCCTCTCAAATCTTTATCTTCTAAGTGTCTGGTTTAGGAAGATAAAGATTTGATAATGACATCTTCTGAAGTAGGTGATGGAATGGACCTGGATGTAATGGTTTGGTGAGAATGTCAGCATGTTGGTTCCCAGTTGGCACATGAAGAGCTTTAAGATTCCCAGCTTTGATTTGATCACGAACTGTATGGCAATCTATCTCTATATGTTTTGTCCTTTCATGGAAAACTGGGTTCATAGCAATGTGTAGAGCTGATTTGTTATCGCAGAAGAGTTTTGCCGGGCAAGTAACTTTGATGTGCAAGTCTTTAAGCAGTTGCTGTAACCAGATGATCTCACAAGTAGCATGAGCAAGGCTGCGATATTCTGACTCTGTACTGCTACGGCTAGCCACAGATTGTTTCTTTGATTTCCATGAGATCAAAGAATGTCCAAGATAAACACAATATCCAGTGACTGATCTGCGTGTATCTCTACAAGTTCCCCAATCCGCATCCGCAAAACCATTCAAGCATAACTCTGAATCAGCTGAATACATTAAACCTTGACCAGGATTAGATTTAATGTACCTTAGAACTTTGTATGCTGCCTGTAGATGAACATCAGAGGGAGCTGAAATGAATTGACTCAGTTGATGGACTGCAAAAGTGATATCAGGTCTTGTTATAGTCAGATAAAGCAGTCGGCCAATGAGTTCTCTGTAGGATGTTGGATTAGGTAGCAAAGTTCCCATGTCTTTAACCAAATGAATTGTAGGATCCATTGGAATAGAGCTTGGCTTGCAATTCAGTAGACCTGCATCTTCCAATAGGTTTTGAGCATATTTCCTTTGACAGACAGTAATTCCCTTTGATGATCTTGCTATTTCCAAACCAAGGAAAAATCTTGCAGGGCCGAGATCTTTGATCTTGAATTCTGAACGCAATAAGGACTTCAATTCCTCCACTGTTTCATCATTGTTGCTTGCTATCATAATGTCGTCTACATAGACTAACACCACAATAAAAGAACCTGAAGTCATCTTGACAAACATGGTATTGTCAGCAGGGGATTGTATGTAATTTGCACCCAGCAAAACAGAAGAAAACCTCTTGTACCACTGTCTTGAAGCCTGCTTGAGTCCATATAGTGACTTAAGAAGACGACATACTGGATTAGGTGGTAAAGAACTTCCATTAGGTGCAGTGTATCCTTGAGGTAAGCTCATGAAAATCTCTTCATCTAATTCTCCATGCAGAAAAGCATTAGACACATCCATTTGTGTCAGACTCCACCCTTTTGCAGCTGCTAGACCAAGTAATAGCTTTACACTTGTTAGTTTTGCAACAGGGGAAAAAGTATCTAGATAATCCAGACCCTCCTGTTGTGTGAATCCCTGAGCAACCAGTCTAGCCTTATATCTTTCCACTGTACCATCTGGATTATACTTGATGGTAAAAATCCATTTACAGCCAACCACATTCTTTCCTTGAGGTAAAGATTCAACAACCCAAGTATTATTAAGCTCAAGAGCATGTAGCTCCTCATTAGCAGCTTTTGTCCACTTCTCTGATTTCATGGCCTGTTTAAATGTTTTAGGTTCTGTCTCTAGATTATATGAAAAGATATATGAATTGTATAATGGAGTGAGTTTATCATATGATATAACAGAGGAAATAGGATATGGAGTAGTATGATGTATAGGTGGTGGAGTAATATTATTTATAGGTGGTAAAGTAGAAATAGATGGAACAAGAGAGCAATGATACTCAGACAAATAACTAGGAGCTTTAGTTGTGCGTTTAGACCTAGCAATAGGAACAGAAGTAGCACCAGTATCATGTGTCTCTGTTATAGGTTCTAATGGAATGGTACTAGACTCTATATGTGTATCAGACGATGATGATGATGCAGGTGTATGAACAGGATGATTTTCATATAAAGACATAGAATCAACAAAATGCAGTGGTGCAGGTAAAGGAAGAATTGAATTAGGAAACATGTCTACTGATTTATCTAACAATTCACTAGTCTTAAATGGAAATTTGTTCTCATGAAAAACTACATTCCTAGATATAGAAACAGAATGAGACTCCAAATCCAGAACTTTGTAACCCTTGTAACCAGAAGGATAACCAATGAACACACAAGGCTTAGCTCTAGGAGAAAACTTATGTCTATCCTGAACATGAGTAGACACATAGCACAAGCATCCAAAATTCTTTAACAATGTATAATCTGGTAGTTTCTTAAGAAGTAATTCATAAGGAGACTTACCATTCAATAAAGGTGATGGCATGCGATTTATTAAGTATGTTGCAGTAATGACACAATCACTCCAGTATTGTAAAGGGATGTTAGACTGAAAAAGCAAAGATCTTGCCACATTTAACAAATGTTGGTGTTTACGCTCAACAACAGAGTTTTGTTGTGGAGTGTAAGCACATGAAAAATAATGTTGCATGTCATGTTCTTTAACAATATCATGAAAAGCTAGTTCTGGAGCATTGTCAGATCGTATTGCTTTGATTGTAGAATCATATTGAGTAGAAACAAGTTTAAGAAAAATTGGAAAAACAGTAGAAACTTCTCTTTTATTTTTCAACATATAAACCCAAGTAACACGAGTACAATCATCAACCAAAGTAAGAAAATACTTGAAACCTTCTACAGACTCTGTACTAAAAGGACCCCAAACATCTAAATGGACAAGATCAAATGGCTTTAATGACAGATTATTATGTGAAACATATGCTAATCTCTTTTGTTTTGATAAAGGACATATAGGACACTGTAAAACATCAGAAGAAATTGTTTTTAAAGACGGAATGACACTCACAAGCTTCTGTAATGCTCCTGGTGATGGATGACCAAGTCTTTGATGCCAAAGAACACCATCAGACAGCATAGAAGAAGAAGAAATAGAACAAATCGCAGGAATTGATGGAGAGAGGGTTTTATTCTCAGATTCAAGAATGTATAGATTGTTGAAAAGCTTACCCCTCCCAATCATCAAGCCCTGAGAAAGTTCCTGAATAAAGCAACAAGTAGGATAGAAATGTGAAGAACAATACAATGTTTTAGCTAAACAACTAACACTTATCAAATTGAACTTAAAATCTGGAACATGCAACACATTATGTAATATTAATGCATGAGTAATGATTATAGTGCCAGTGTGTGTTATAGGAACCCTAGTACCATTAGGAAGAGTTACAGTAACACTAGACACTGGTTTTAATTCTGTAAACATTGCTAAATCTGAACACACATGGCTAGAAGCTCCACTATCTATTATCCAAGCATCAGGAGATAATAATTTCTGTAAGGATGAAAGAGAATGATTTTGGAAAATGAGATCATTATTCTCATACTTAAGACTAGTAGAAGGAAATGAGACATTACCAGATGTGGATGTAACAGCCATGAAACCATGTTCAGTGATATTAGCAGTATTTGAAGTAGCTACAGGCTCTGGAACTTGTACTTGAGCCTTGAATTGAGATACCAATTGTTGTATTTGCTGCGGAGAGTAATCTTGTATATTCAGATTGTTACCATCACCAATAATGTGTGGTACATTTTGAGGAATCATCTGCATATACGGATAAGTACCAAACTCAGAATAAGAAGGTGCCTCAGCATACACATTTGCTATAGCATTAGCCTTCTGTAGTTGATCATAAGGAACCATTTGCATCTGCATACGTGGTTGACCTGTAGTCATCCTAGGCTGAAACTGACTTACTGGCATTCTTGGCTGAAACTGATTAGGAGGCCTATAGTTGAATCCAGTAGTAGTGTTGACTTTATAACCTGGAGGATAACCCAAAATCTTGTAACATTTCTGAACCGTATGACCAACCTTGCCACAATGTGAACATATCGGTTTCTGAGTTGGTCTCACTGTATTATAAGCAGCTATATAAGACTCATCACCATCTGCAGGTGCAACAGTCTGAAAAGCAACATTATCCACTCTAGAGATAGGTTTGATAGACTTCTGACGCTCATCTTGAGTAACTATGTTGAAAGCTTCTTCAATAGTAGGTATTGGCTTCAACATTAGTATATGACGCCTAGTCTGTTCATAACTCTCATTCAAACCCATGAGAAACTTAGTAACACGACTACGTTGTTGTAATCGTTCCCATTTAGCAGCAGCATCACACTCACATTTACCACAAGTACATACTGGAAGATCTACATAATTCCTATGTTCTTCCCAAAGAGTAAGCAGTTCTGTATAATAAGCTGAGATATCCATAGAACCCTGTTCAATCTTGCTTAAACGCTGTTCTATATCAAAGACCCTAGGTGCATCATCTTGCTTAAATCTTGATGTTAGATTCTGCCAAATTCCTTCAGCAGTCGAAATAAAAAGCAAGCTCTGTCCTATTTTCTTAGAAACAGAATTCATTAACCAAGTAGCCACAATGTCATTGCATCTAGACCACGCACCATAGTCACGATGATTCTCAGGAGGTTTAGAAATCATACCATTGATGAATCCAAGTTTATTCCTCACATTGAGAGCCATCCAAACAGAACGCTTCCAAGAATGAAAATCTGAAGCTGTTGTAAGTCGATCCGATACTAGCACAAGACCCGCATGATCATTGTGATGCAAATAGTATGGATTCTCATATAGATCCGCTTGAAATCGCGGTGGATCTGAAGAATTCGCCATTGTAGTAAGTGGATGAACAGTAAATCCCAATCTCAGTGTAAGATATGAGAAATACCAAAGAAAAGTGCGACGAAATTGGGTAAAGAGATCAAGAAATCGTCGACACAGAGGTCAATAAAAGAAATTGAAAGAAAATCAGAACGGAAAACGGAAAATGACGCCGGCGAATAGCTCGGAAAACGCAGCAAAGAATTCAAAACAAGAAACAATCAAACAACTCATCTTCGCGAATATAACTTCTCTAGTGATCTCCGATTGTACCGATGAAGACGGAAGACTTATTTGCACTGCTCTGATACCATATTGAAGTCCGATACACCGGAGATATTAAGCCAGAGAAGAGAACGAAGGAGAGCTCAAATTTAGATCTAACAGAATCTTTTATTAACATGTAAAATGTTTGTTACAAAGCTTAACCAAAACTAAAGTATACTTAAGCTTATATATACATTTCTCATAATCATATTAAACCATTCATCAGATAACCGGAGTTAACCAATGAACCATTCAAACCATGTATCATAATACTTACAGTGTGAAGTTTCTTGTTTGCTACTTGAGGAAGAATAGATATAGCTAGAGAAGCCATTTTAACAAAGCGTTGTGAGATAGGAAGATGATTAAGCTTTGAGTGATTTAGTTGTTTACATGATCTGCTTTTGTCACAATGCCATCGTATTAGTTGGAAATCTAGCTAACCACCTGGCTAAATTAGTTGATCCAGCACTATCCAATATGTTTCGAATCCTTAAAATCTCGCCAAGAACGGGAAGATCTTGTGCAGCTGATTTGTTTAGGGAGCTTCTTGCAAATGAATCCTCCCTGTTACAAAGAATCCTTTTGATTAATCACACTTAGCTACATGGATTCTGCTGTTACCAAACTCATAATTTGATTATTCATGTTACTTTAACGTAATGGAGCATTGTTGATAACAATATAATTAGCATTGATGAATGGATGATGACCTAAATATAAGCCTTAAAGCTTGACACCAAATCTCTGTCTGGAATGTGTTTATCAATTTGTCATATAACTCAAATGACGATGTGTCGGTGTGACTGCTTATTATGTGGACGATGTGCAGGTGTCGGCGAATGGAACATTGTACCACAAGAGCTGCTTCAAGTGTACACATGGAGGCTGCACGATAAGTCCTTCAAATTACATAGCTCACGAGGGTAAGCTTTATTGCAAGCATCATCATATTCAGCTTTAATATGTTGTTGTTGTTGTTGTTGTTATTTGGATCTTTGTTCACTCTTTTATTGAGTTTCTTGAGATGAATGAAACGAGAAACAGAGAAAATAATGGATGTTTGCTTATGAGAATATATGTATTACGTTCAAATAACAAATGCTATAAGAAGAGGATGTTCTTAGGGGGTGTTATTGGTTTGTGATTTAGAATGAGTTTTAGTGACTTGATAATAAAGGATTTTAAAAGATTGTTAAAAAGTTTTATATTATCTTGATGATTTATTTTCCAAAATCTTGTAAAGTCTTTAAAACTTTTTTCCATAATCTTGTATACTCTTGATGACTTTTCCAAACTTTTCCTACAAAATATTTCCAAAATCTTGTCCAATTTTTATTAACGTCTAGTGACCATCTTCTATCTTCTATATAACATGTTCTGTGTAGGCCTGGTTTTCTTCTATATACTAGGTTGTTTATCAGAGTTACAGAGTTATGATACTGTACTATCATAATACTCGCTTATGAATTTCGTGTGTCGATCGTTAGATTCTTGTATGTTCATATAATATTTAATTGTTTTCATTGTGTTTGGATCTTTTGATTCTCTAGCACCAAAATCTATAAAATTTGCAAAAGTCAAGTGATGTGATACGTTTGGTTTAATAATATATACATGCGGAGATTTGCTTATGCTGTGATACGTTTGGTTTTGTGACAAGTCAATGGTCTTTTTTTTTTGATACGTTTGATTTGCTTATCATGATCATAATAATTCATAAGTGTAGATGTGATACGTTTGGTTTAATATTAGGATGTTTGAATGTGAAAAAAATGTCAATAAGATTTGCTTAGTCAAAGATAAGTTGTTTGAATATCGGACATCCTTATGTTTTATATTCATCTGTAACAAATGCTTTTAGTCAATGGGAGATTCCCAAAAGAGTAAGGAAAAGGGTCCATACAATCAATGGGGACCAGAGGAGACAAAATTGTTGGTAGAGTTACTTGTTGATGCAGTTCACCGAAATTGGCGTGATAATAGCGGTATCTTTAGCAAGCTAACGGTGGAGCAAAAGATTTTACCAGTTCTCAATGAAAGACTTGGATGCCAAAAGAATCACACTCAGTACCTAAGTAGATGGAAGTACTTGAGAGGCCTATACCAAAATTATTTAGACCTTCAACGCTTCAATTTTGGATTTGGATGGGATAATGAAATGAAAATGTTTACCGCTCCGGATGAAGTGTGGGACGAGTACTTGAGGGTATGTATTTGATAAATCTTTAAGCATATAACATTTTGTTTCAAATATATCTTATGATTAATTTTTTTTTTTATCTACAGAAACATCCTAAACATAAACATCTACGATATGAGTCAAATGAACAATTTGAGGATCTTCAAGTCATATTTGGATGTGGTTTAGCTACTGGTGGTTCCGCAATTGGAATGGGTGATACCATTGATGCTCGAACCATTAGAACTGGGGAGAGTACAAGAGTGAGAGATAACATAATCGTTGATGAAGTTTTTGAACTATCATCTGAAGAGCCATTAGCATCACCAGAATGTGATATGTCACCCATTCAAGGTACAAATCCAAAAGGGAGGGTGGATAAACTTCGTCCAAGGAAGAGGTCTAGAACCTTAGCTACTAGCAATGTAGATAAGCTGAAAACTGATGAGGAGGATCCTATGATCATAGTTAGTAATAGGATCCTTAATGTCATACAACAAAGAGAAGAAAGACAACAGAGAGAAGCTGAGAAAAGAGAAGAAAATCTAAGACGGGAAGTTGAGGAAAAAGAAGCTGAAAAGAAAAAAAACAATGTTTGGGAAGCGATGAAGGAAATTCCTAATTTAGAGAATCATATTCGCTACAAAGCAGTTACCTTGATTCACTCGCTTGGAATGAAAGATGTCTTCATAGACATGTCGGTAGAAGAATGTTTTGGTTGGATTCAGAGCAATGTTGGCTCTATATAATATTGCTTTTGAGTTTTCTTTTATATATATATCTCTTGTTTGGCGAGACAATATTTTCAAGTTGGTTATTGAATTTGGTTTCATATAAGTTCTATTGAAATTGCCATTGATTTTTATTCCCAAATATTTTTTTTTTTGTGTGTGTATTCGGTTTGATGCATGGTGGAGTAGGGTGAACGTTTGTCAAACATAAACACGTCAAATATTCCTTTATTTGTTTGTGTATACGTTAGTGTTCATGTTTATAATTTTAAGCTGATTTTTAATTACTCTTTGCAGGGAATTATGGAGAGCACCATTGTAAGAGAGGATGAAGATGACGAATCAGAAATGGATATTTTGCTATTACTACTGAAAAATACGACGAGAGCTTACTTCACGAATAAACGTATTGAGCGTCCGATTCGTAAGCCTATCACAAGAATTGGCTACATTTACCTCGAGAAACTTTTGAAGAAAGATCATGACCGCTTTCGAAAGGTATACCGTATGTATCCTGACGTTTTTTTGAAGTTATGTGATATTATCAGAGAAAAAACATCTTTAAGAGGTACCCGCCAGACTTATCTTGAAGAAATGGTGGCTACATTTTTGCTCACCATTGGTCAAAATTCGAGATATAATTATACAATGGACACATTTGAGAGATCAAAGTTTGCTGCAAGCACAAATTTTCACAAGGTTTTAAATGCATTAACCACTATTGCACCAAGTCTTATGGCCAAACCTGGACTCATAGTTCCAGCAAAAATAAGAGAAAGCACACGTTATTATCCTTATTTCAAGGTATGTTTATTGCAAACTATAATTTAAAGTACTCTTCAACACAATTTAAAATATTCATTATTTTTACAGGACTGTGTTGGAGCTATCGACGGCACACACATTCATGCAATGGTGCCCGCTTCTAATGCACCAAGCTATCGTAATCGGAAAGGATATACATCACAAAATGTTCTTGCTGCTTGTAACTTTGATCTAGAGTTCAGATATGTCCTTAGTGGGTGGGAAGGTACAGCTCACGATTCAAAAGTATTAAGCGATGCTTTAACGAGAAGTAAGAGCAAGCTACCTGTTCCTGAAGGTATATACTTATGCATTACACAGAAAATTGTTACCTCTCTTTTGTTAATATGACTATTAATATCATTGCTATCATATATGAATTTCAGGAAAATATTATCTAGTTGATTGTGGATTTGTAAATCGACGCAATTTTTTAGCTCCGTTCAGAGGTACAAAGTATCATCTACAAGACTTTAGAGGTCAAGGTTGTGATCCTAGTAATCAAAATGAGTTATTCAACTTGCGTCATGCATCTTTGAGAAATGTGATCGAGAGAATTTTTGGTATCTTCAAATCTCGCTTTTTGATTTTCAAATCAGCACCGCCTTTTCCTTTTAAGGTACAAGCAGAACTTGTATTAGCTTGTGCTGGATTACATAACTTTCTTCGTAGAGAATGTCGGTCCGATGAGTTTCTTCCCGAAGAATACAGTGACAACGACGAAGAAAACAATGAGAGCCACGAAGAAAACAATTATGAGGAAAATGGAGATACGGGACCTCTCCAATCTCAACAAAGGGAATATGCTAATAATTGGAGAGACACAATAGCTGCTAGTATGTGGGCAGAAGCTACAGGAACAGGGAGCATACCATGAAGATCATGAAGTTTTTATTTTCAAATATTTTTCTCTTCTTTGCCTGTGTTGGATTAAGGGGTGACAAAGATCTTGGTTTGTTTGGTTTCATTGTTTGTGACGAAGCTTGCTATCTTTGAGCAAACTTTTGATTTTCTTTTTATAATAAGTTTTTATTTACCAGAGAGTTGTACTAATTTGGTTCTTCGATTTTGCGGTTTTGAGTCTTGATAGTCTTGTTTTCGCTTCATCTTCTTCCTTTGATATCTTCTGATTCAGACCTCGGTTTGGAGATCTAAAAGTTGTTCTGAAATCTTGAGATCAAGATATTTCCAACCGTATAAAGATGAGCTTCTGATTCCTTGTGAGTCGACTTGAGAAAAAGTTTGAAGTTGGTGCACTTCAGCTTCGTCGCTCTGTTCTTCGGTCTTGGTAGATTGGTCATAACTTTCAGACCGTGACAGCAAATCACGTTCCGCTTTTTCCTGTAGCTTCGTATATCTCTCTACTATTTTTCAACAAAGTTTCATATTTTTCTGGGTTGTTTTGATAACCCTTTCAGTCTTTGAACCAGAACACGTCTGTTCTGTTATCCTTCTTCTTCTTTTTTGGTTTTCTTGTTTTTTGTCTTTGTCTTTGTCATCTATTTGTCCACCGCTTCATCCTCTTGAATATTCGCAATTTGGTCCATTCATTCACCAATCAAACACAAACCCAACAAATAGAAAACTGTTTATTAAGCGAAGACAAATAGATGACCAAGACAAAGACAAAAAACACAAACAGATCATATCATCTCATAAACAGATGTCTTTGTCTCCTCCATTCCCCAATTTTGGAACTTGAAATTGCTGGAGAACAGGAGAAGCAGCGACGGAGACGATTCCGGTGTCAAAGATTGCTGACACATACAAAGTCATGGACTCTATTCACAATCTCTTTATTTTATGGGGGAGTTTTCATGACTTTTTTTATGAAGAAAATTATATAAAATCCTAAACCAATAACATAATATTTTAATTTATCAACAATCCAAGATTCTTTTGTTTTAATTGAATAACACAAAACTTTTAATGACTCTATAAAACTCTTAATCCAATAACACTAGATTTATAAAGATTTTAGATTACTTTTTATAAATCTCAAACCAATAACACCAAATTGTAATAGAGTTTTTAAAAGTCATGATTGAATAACAACATATTCTACATAACTTTTAAACTCACTAGGTTATGAACCCCCGCGATGTCGCGGGGGAACTCATTTTCAACAAATATATTTGATTGTGTTTATGTATTAAATTGTTATGATAATATATTCAAAAATTTGAATTATTACATAAAATTAACTATGTTTTAAAGTTATATCATAAATATTTTCCAAAGATGTTAAAACAATTTATGAATAAAAATATAAAAAAGAAGAATTATGATTAAAAATACTTTTGAAACATTTTTTATGAATGTAAAATTATTTATAAGTGACAAAATACATAAAAAAGAATTTTAATATAGAGATAAGAAATTCTAACGGTCAAAACCCAAAAATTTGGATGGAGTCGGTACTCAGCACGACTTGTGGGTGACTAAGAACTTCGTCCGAGAATTGGTATTTTTTGTTTGTCCATTGTTCTTTAAATATAAAACTAATATTTATTCTCATATATATTCGAAAAATATAAAATTTGATGGCGTAAATACAAACAAATAAACATTTACAAAATCTCATGAATTTATATTTGTATTGATAAATTAACTGAATAAAAAAACTTTTTCCTTGAATATTCGTGTGACGAACTGGAATCATTTCTTTTTCTAATAATGGAGATGATTTCTGGATAACTATACCATTTGAAACGGTTTATTTGACGCTTACCACATTTTAAACGCCCAATCACAAGCGCCACATGAGGATGTCTTCTCATATTCATACTTTGTAATGGTGCTACCTCAGCATCAATATTTCGTTGTATACAACCCATATATATTGCCTTAAGATAGAAAGAATAATTGTTACCATATAAAATAGTTAAGTAAAAAAATTTACTGTATAATCCGTCCAATTCTAAGAAAATAATTGTTGGTATCTTCTTTAGAATTTTATATTTAAAGTTGATTAAAACTTCTCCATTTTTATAATCATTCCAAAAAACTTTGGTTAAATAAAAAATGAGAATTTTTTTTTTAATATTAAAATAATGTATGTTTAGAAATAGTTTAGAGAATAAAGAATTTAGATCTATTTTACAGATTTTTTTTTTTGGATTCATCATAAAACAAATAATTTATGTTAAAGAACAAAAATTTGGAAACTACTTAGGAAGAAGGACAAATATATAGAGTTCAAAAGTCACGAATATTTAAATAGACAATTATTCATACAAATAGTTGTGAAGAAAAAATACAATGAAATATAATGAAGACCAAAGAGACGTAACTTTAATTGAATAGATGCAACTATAAAACACAACCGTAAACTGAAAAAAATGACTATAACTAAACAAATAGAACTGTCCCCAAAAAATAACCGTCAATATTTTAACGAAAAGATGCGATAAAAAGACACAATTTAGGAAAAATAATCGTCAATATTTTAACAGAAAGTTGCGATAAAAAGACACAGCCGAAAAATAACCGTCCACGAAAAAAAGTAACCGTCAATATTTAAACGAAGAGTTACGATAAAAATATACCACCGAGAAAAACTAACCGTCAATATATTACCGAAAAATTACGATAAAAAGACACAACCGAGCAAAAATAACCGTCAATATTTTAACCAAAAGTTGCGATGGAAAGACACAACCGAAAAAATTAACCGTCAATATTTTAACGGAAAGTTAATATAAAAAGACACAACGAAAAAATAACCGTCAATGAAAAAAGTAACCGTAATTATTTTAACGAAGAGTTGCGATCAAAAAGACACAACCGAGAAAAAAGTAACCGTCAATATTTTAATGAAAAGTTACTATGAAAAAACACAACCGAAAAAATAACCGTCAACGAAAAAAATAACCGTAATTATTTTAAAGGAAAGTTGCGATAAAAAGACACAAACGTAAAAGTAACCGTTAATATATTAACGAAAAGTTGCGATAGAAAAATACACAACCGAAAAAATAACTGTCAACGAAAAAAGTAACCGTCAATATTTTAATGAAGAGTTGCGATAAAAAGACACAACCGAGAAAAATAACTGTCAATATTTTAACGGAGTGTTGCGATAAAAAGATACAACCGAGAAAATAACCGTCAACATTTTAACGGAAAGTTGCGATGAAAAGACACAACCGAGAAAATAACCGTTAATATTTTAACAGAAATTTGCGATACAACCGAAAAAAATAACCGTCAATATTGTAACGGAAAGTTGCGATAAAAAGACACAAACAAAAAAAAAGTAATCGCCAATATTTTAGCGGAAAGTTGCAATAAAAAGACACAACGAAAAATAACCATCAATATTTTAACGAAGAGTTGCGATAAAAACATAACCGGAAAAATAAACGTCAATATTTTAACGGAAAACTGCGATAAAAAGACGCAACCTTTCAGAAGTGCAAATGACTTTTATTGGAAACGACATAACCGTAAAAAAAAACCGATTAAAACGAAAATTGCGATAAAAAGACGCAACCAAAATAACCGTAAAAAAATAACCGATTTAGACGAAAGGTTGCGATAAAAAGACGCAACCGTTCAGACGTGCAAATGGTATTTATTAGATTGCTATTATATATAGATTAAAAGTCTTTCTAAATCCCAAACCAATAACACCCCCTTAGTATAGCCCATCTTTGTGTGAAAAACTTGTATAGTCACTTAAACATTTTTTTTTTCTTTTTCTAAGAACCCTACTTGAGATACCACCATTGGACTATCAAAAATTTTAAAATTTTTACACAAACTCTCTTCTTACAAATTTTCACAATTTATATTAAACAATGGGATAGAGCCCATGGGGGGCTCTCACCATTGGAGATGCTCTTAGAAATTTATTTCATTTTAGGTACTTGTTTCATGCCTTACGAAAACAGGCACTCTTCAGACGTGAAAAGACATCTCTATCCTTAGACTATCGACGTCATCTTCACTCTTCAGGAACCGAAAAATTAAATATTTTATTCAGGAAGAGTTTACTGTTGTACTGGAGTTATTTCAGTTTGCAGGCTGGTTCTTCTTGACATACGGTAGTTCAAACTTGGGATCGAAATTGTCGGAGAAAAATATGGTGATGACGAGAAGTGAGCGGCGACCAAAACCAACAACGTTGGAGACTCGGGGTCATCGATCACGGAGAGTGATGTTAGCGATGATGGCAGGTTCAGACGACTAACAATTGGTCGCGATTCATGAGGTGCGATTTTCGATTTTTAACATCCCACATTTCGGAGATCTGAAAAACAAAAAGCAAAAGATCCCACAGGTTTGGTATTACGATTTACGCGTTTTTTGTTCGGTGATTTTGAGATCAAGGTGCGATTTTTTTTTGTTGGAGGTCGTCATGTGGAACTGATTCAATCCAAGATCCATACAGATCTAATCTCGGCGAGTCGATTCCAGAGTCGACTTTGCAAAAATTGTTGGTGTTGATCTGAAGAAGAGGCATTGTTGTCTTTTTAGAGATGGATCAAATATTTGTTGTTAGCAAATAGCTGGCTGAGATCGAAGGACTAATCAATGACATATTATGTGCTTTATCGTGAGAATAAATATGTGTAGCTTTTTCTTACCAAAAAAAAAAAAATATGTGTAGCTTTTTATCCATTTCTGATTTGGGAAGTTTCGTTTTTGTTTGGCTGTCTATATAATGTTTTGATGTTTAGTTTCTCCAGAAATGGATTCTAGAAGCTGGAAAAGATCAAAGATGCTAATAGGTAGAGTAGGCAGCTGGAAGAACTCATTGAAAAATACGTGACTGTAAGAGGTAAACATTGCTGCTCCTTCTTCTTTGATTGAATCTGCTTTTGAACTTTTGATTATCTAATGATGAGGATGATGCCTTCTTCCTTCAGACTTATTAAAGGTTTCTATAGGGAGGTTAAAAGCTTTAAACGTGGTAATGATGCCAACAGCCCAACACTAACCAGATGTTGAACGATAGACGACAATCTATGGTATGCACTTATATATTCCCCTATTTTTGATGCCATTCCTTGAGGTCTGTTTAATGTTTTCTAAA